GAGATAAATAACATGACGTTCGCTAATGAACACTCATAATTTTTTTTTTACACTTAAAATGTAATAACGTCAGATATATTTTTTTAATCAATTATCATCATTGCTAAAAAAATCTGTAGTTTATAATGTTTAATAATAAAAATTTACATAAAATTATGTAGCGTACATATAGGTATAAATTATTTGCCCGATCTGGATGACCACATGAAAATTTGATGAGATTAAAGTTTTGTGAATAAGAAAAGTTCTGATATATTGGCTTTTACGATTTACTACATAAGATTTATTTAATTAGAATATAAGAGTTAAAACAATTATACAATAAATATACTTAATAAATGAAAAATCGATCTTATTTTCAAGTAAAAGTGCAATGAATTCAAGCCGGTTTGTAGAAAATTATAAATAAATAAACATGTTTAGTCAATTATTTGAACATTACACATTAGATTTTTCATAATTGTATTTTATAATTCCAAAATAAGTAAGAGTTTCACTATTAAATTAGTTCATCTCTTAATTGTTTATTTAAAGAATAATTATAAATTTGTTTGGAACTAAGATAACGTGACTGGAGTGTAAAATGGCAATCCTTGTATTTTTTTAAAAATAATTTAAAATATGTAAGAGATTTATTATAGATTGATTTAAAAATATAATTGAATAAACAAGTAGAGCTAAATATATAAAGATTAGAACGGAACAGCGACCTCCTGACATCCTTAAAAAATATGTTTATATTTATTATTAAAGAACAAACATTTCTTGCATAAACAATTGTCGTATATCTTTGTAATATGAATTAATATATGATGTATTTTTTTTTTAATTTTAATGGCTAGGTTGTTGTTGTCAATTAATAATAAGATATATTTCGCACTCTCAGGGGTGCACACACCGGTTGGGAATCACTGTTTTAGAATATTTGATTAAATTGATTTGAAGACGGGATAATGTTGATCTTAAAATTTCGAAATAAATACATAAAACATATATATAAAAGTAAGATAAGAAAGAATTCGTTTGTTTCAGTTTTACAATAATATAGAATTTGGTAAGTTTGTTTAGATTTGCTGTTATTATATATTGTTATTATATTTTTATAGTACTAGAAATTCTGGTTTAAGCGAACATACTGCTGTTTATTGTCTAAAAAATCTTCCATAATCGGCGAGAAACAACAACTATTAACATAAAAATGAGTAACTCACCAGTGGATGAGATACGGGAATAGGGAAGACAGTATTGGTTCCATGAGAGGCCGCAAGCGATGGAGGGCGCTGCACTGAGGCACTCTCCTACCTCGCTGGCTCCCCCCACTTGGGCACCCCACTACCTAGGTGTCGAGGGGAGACAATGCTGTGCTGTGGGAGACAGGAGATTGCCTATTAAGGTGGCGCCTCCCTTCCCACAATCAGGGTGTGTGTTTGTAACTACCGGCTTCCTCCCTGCTTCCCTACCTCCTTGTCCTCCCTTTAATTAAATATGGAGCCGTTGGACACTTTTCTATTTGTCCAATCGACTAGCCAATGTCTTTATCACTCTACTTGCATCAGTCTCGCACTTCAATGACCGATGGAAGACATAATAATCATTTTGCTATTTATAGCAATCATCATCTTCGCTGTAATTATGAATTAATTGCTAAATGGTTGCTTATTAACTCATTGACTGCCGACTACGAAATAACTCATAGTTTGTATTCTTGCTCATGAGCTATCTCGTAATTTGTTGAAGTACCGAATTGCACTCCGATGAAATCCGAGACATATCATTATAAATATGATCAGAAAAGTGAATAAACAATCTTAAAACAAAGTTTAGCTTACCTTGAAAATAAATTTATTCGTTAATATGAACATTTCTGTGATTTCTTAGGGTATCTACGAGATAATTCATACGATATTTTACTTTTTAAAAACACATTATTTATGCTGATTATTATTTATTAAAATTGAATTGTTTATAATATGATTAAATTAAATTAATATTTGATTTCGAAGTCAATAGGTTAAAGTACGATGAAAGGTAAAACATTTTAAACCTACTTTTATTTAAATAAATATTCAATAAAACAAAGCCAAATTTCTAAACTCAGCTCTAAAATAGGCTTAAAGATGCCATGGCATTTAACAATTTAATCGATGGATTAGCTCAGCGATGAGTTTAGGAACTTAACCTCAAATGACGCAATGACATCTATCACCTAAGGTAAAACATTCTTCAATGTATGATTCCATGGAAGGCCCTAATTCTTGTTTCTGAGTTTTTTTTTTAATCTTATGCCTTTTTGAACAAGAGACTTGCAGAAAGTAGTATTTTTGTTATATTCAAATAACTGTCGCCCAGATGTTTTCTATCAAACAAATGTTTAAAAAAATGTTATAAATATAATTTAGGTCTACATCATCATCGACTTTCAACAGGCTGAAATATGCAACTCATAATATTAAGACGAACCCTAATGCAACTAGTTATAACAGACTAAAAACATCTAGCATAAGCATATGATATGACGTGATAATATTGGTTAGTCAAAGAGTAGCACTGTTAAGGGTATAAAAAAAAAATTATAAGAAAATTGGGCTTTCATGTAAACGATGAAAATTTTGTGTAGTAAAATCTTCAAGAAAATCGCCAAAAGGAATGGATTGCACTTATGCAAGCCAGTAATTGGAACCTCTTGTCACAGCGTATTTCCTCATGCGTGACACTCATTTTTAGCTAGATATCAAGACAGTAAGCTAGTTTTTGTAATTGGGAGCTCTTGTCACAGAAAATAATGAGTATTTACAATAAATTAAGGAAGGAGAGGCTGCCGGTAACAGGAGTTATTTCGCTCATAGCCGTTGAAGTTCAGAAACCAAACCAACAGAGTGCTACAGGTACTGGTAGGGGAGAACTAGTCCGGCAAGTGGGTCTGAGTGGTCCTATTTGCCTACCCCTGACGGCTACCTTGAGGTTGCCGCCGCGTACTTGCCAGAATACGAATGTCACGATCCATTTCTCCGGGCAGCCGAGAAATGAAAAGTAACCGACCAAGGTGGGAATCGAATCTATAAGTTCAGAATCGGACACTCTGGGACCCTCTAACAGAGTGCTAAGGATATTAAAGGTCCAGAAGAACTTGCTGAGAAGAATACATGGACCTGTCTATGCTAATGGCCACTAGATAATTAGACAATATAAAGACTTGGAAGAAATGATGAAGGATCCAAGATCTCGTGTCCTTCGTTAGATAGGACTAGGATGAAGCCGCATCATGTGGAACGGATGCCTACAGGTAGGTTACACATGAAATTATTGGATAAGAAAGAATGAGGTACTTCCAGACTTAAGATGGAAATGTAATATGGAAAGATGTTTACCATTTTTGCCACAAATAGTTTTTCGCATTAAAAAGTAAATGGACAGACTCCGAAAAGTGGACAAATTGGTTTTCTCTCCTACTTTACTAACCAAAATGGATTTGGATATTTGGTGGTAGGCTATTCGCTTTATATCGCTTTATAAATAATATTGAATTTATACGATACTAAAACATTGATTAATTATTTGAATATTAAATAATTAGTTGACTCTACTTGGTATACCTGATAGTTGTCTCCCTGAAGACAATAAAAATATGTTTCAAATTAAGTTTTTGTGTTACTGTTCTTTAAGTTATTTTAATTACTCCATGTGGATTAATTAATATTTATGATAATCGGTATTTTCTATAATAAATGTTATCATATTTCAACACAATCGAATGCGTCGTACGGATGTAAACACTCTGTAGATTACAATTTGTGTTCAAATACTATTTTTTTTATTTGTAGCTTTTAAGCTTTTATTTTTGTACCAGGTAATTTTAGTAAGTGTTTTAATTATGTACAGGCAGAGATGTATCACGAACAAGTTGCGTGAGAGGTTACACATTTTGACGGAGTTTAAGAATTTTAGAGGAGGAACGTATTCAACGTAGGAAGTATCGGAAAATGGTGAGAAGTTGGTACGAGTGGATGGCTCCCATGTTTTAATGCAATGTTACTGCACTGTGATAAGAGCAAGAGCTAATAGCACGGGCGGATCTACGAGGGGGGGGGGCTTTCGGGCTGAAGCCCCTCCACCAAAATGGTAACGAGGACACAACAACGCGTGTTGTTAAGCCCGTGGAGCAATTAGTGAGATTTTTGCTAAATGAGCTCTTAGATTCAAGTACTGAGAATTGATTCGTGAAATTACATTGACAAGGCAACTGTAAGGAGATCACTGAAACAGCACACTTCGAAACTGAGGTAGTTGGGCCGCAAAATTCTGTCTGTTTGTGGGGGCGCTAAGTGAGATTGACCTCGTTACTTTGAAGGTGCAAACAGAGAGAAAAGCTCGTAGCGAAGGCCCTCGAAAATGTAAAGTGACGTGGATGTCCGCTGTAGTGGGCTATAGAAAATACACCTTTGTTAGGATAAATCCCCACGAGCAGGTAACACATTTACGATACCTTTCACAAGCAAACTGAACTACCTTGTGTAGTTCAGTAATGAGGGGTCATTGTCAATATCGATTTACATAGAGAAATGATATAGATGTTTCTTTTCAGTGGGGATATCTTGCTAGGTCGACAAGGAATAGGATACCTTCTGGAGGCTGACATCTGGTGGAGAGTTAAATTATTTGTTGGATGTGTTAATAGTTACCATATTTATTTCTCGAGCCAACTATTAAGTAGCATTATATGGAAATTTATTTAGTTAGCATGCGCATGTTATTGTTATTTTAGTATTTATATGCACATTTTTTTTTTTATAGAGTATTTTATTATATTTAGAGTTCTATTATATTTATTGTTATTTAATGTAATTAAACTAGTGTAGTTAGTAATTAGATTATATCGTTCCATTCATGTTAAACATAATATACTCGTAAAAGATCAGTAATCATTTATTATTTTCCTGGCACCCGTCTTACAGTCGGTCATCTAATATTTATATTTAATAAGTTAATTTGGGATGTTTAGAAAATTACTCAAATATTACTACTTAGATATTTATTTTCTGGTTAGCCTATTATTGGCTCGAGCTTCTCTTTTATCTTGAGCCCCCTCAGTAGATGGATCGCAAGGAAGATAACCACAAGCTGAAAATGATAATAATAAACAATTTAGAAGTGTAATTATTCATTTTTTAAACAAATATAAAGAAGGACTTGTGGGATAGAACCAATATTGTTTTTTAAATGAGTGATTATGGTTATGATAGATTCAGTTAATGAAGTAAAATATAAATAAACTTATTTCTTTCCCCTCAACTGGTTTACCTTAATACTTTACCATACCATACCTTAATACCTTACCATAATTTTTGCATAAGTGCTAAGGGAGATGCTTTTTATCTGAGGTATATAAGTAAAAATTAAGCAACAGCTTTACTTAATTTTTATTTACTTACCATCATTATTTTCCGTCTAAAGTGTCAAAAAGAATACTTCACGCACCATTTTATGTTGCAAATGGTTTATGCAATAATGCATAAAGACTTATACATTCCAACAATTTCACACATCGCAAAAGAAAATTACAATAATTTTCATCGAAGACTGACTTATTACATGAATTAATCCGTGGTACAGATCCATTTTAATCAAATTATTAGTATCCGTCATAAACTTCGTAAATAGATTCATTTCATCATAACCTAAAACCATTTTATTTACGAAAATTCACGGAATTGAGACGTTTTCAATCTGGAGGTTAGCAAACTTTGTCTATTTTATTTGATAATTGATAATTCTATAATAATCTATTTATTTAATAATAATACAATCAGCCACTGCTGAAGGGCTATAAGTATTAGAGATAAAAATTCTCATTTATACAATATATACAAATAATAGAGAAAAAAATATAAATATAAAAAGTAAATAAATAATACTGATGAAGAAAGTAAATAAAAAGAAAAAAAAAAGTAAACAAATAACATAAAATAGAAACTTCTAAACACAATCATACCTATATACATTCGCCCAGGAATCTCCGAGTCAGGTTTTTTTCCCCCACATGTGGAAGGCAAAGCAAGACTGCAGGAGATCCCAGTGGCACTTTTCCAGCCGCATCACTAGTATTAGAAGCCAGTGGAGGCTGAAGTAGGGCACTAGAGCCACAGAAGCTCAGGACATGAGTGGAGAAGCTGGACATTGCCAGGACTCCAGAAGCATATTTACAAGAGATCTCAGGGCCACTGCCGTTTTAACCTTCGAGGAGGATTGTAGGGATGAAGGGAGATGGATAGGGATTGAGCTAGGGGATTTGGATGATGGATAAGGTTCTGGTGAAAGTTTGAGAATCTGGATGGGATTATATCGAGGACAAATGGGATGTTAAGGTCATGGTGTAGGGTCTTATTTGTGACATAATGTGGGGCATTGACTATTGTTTTAAGTACTTTGGATTGAAAGGATTGGATGCGTTTGATATTCGAATGTTTAGCAGTTCCCCACAGTTCAAGTCCGTAGGTCCAGATAGATCTATTTTATTAGGTACTAAAAACTAGTAAATACCCATTCGCTTTCTACTTCGATCGTAAGATAATTTGATCACAAATTCGGGAAAAAATATAGGGCCGCTTGGTCTAAATTAAAAAAAATAAATAAATAAACCTGTACCACTAACAACTTATAGGGTTCAGTATAATCTGAGGAAGTGCTGTTACAAGGCCAAGGGTTTGTGCAGCAATATCACGCTCAACTGCTAGATTTTCTTCCTTAATTAATTATATAATTATCCTCTTTATAGAGGCTGGATGTTCGCCCCAGGTTGGTCTCCCGGCCCCAGGGTCGACCCATGGCTGATGAAAAATTAATCGTCATCAGCCGGATTCGAACCTGGAACCTTGACTCGAAGTCAGTGCTCACCCACTGAGCTACCCTGCTCCATTGTTTGGTCTAAATAACCTTGTTATTTTGGGGTTGTAGGTCACGCCAAACGGCACAATGTTTTTGAAGGTCACTTTTTTTCTCGATTTTGTGCTCAAATTATTCAAGTACAAAGCAAATGGGTATTTACTAGTTTTTAGTACCTACTTAAATAGACAAAGTTTGCCGATCTTCAGATTGAAAATGCCTCAATCCCGAGAATTTTCATAATTAAAATATTTATAGGTTATGATGAGATGGTTTACAAAGTTTCAGGCGAATGTTAATAAATTGATAAAAAGGGTCTGTACCACGGATTAAATCCAATGGCAGAAATTTTTAAACACGCAAAATAAGACATCTCTTTAGCCAACAATTACTTTGACGGTGGGCAAGATATCTGCTGAGCTGATTTTTATATATCCTGCGATGAGGCACTGTGAAGATTCCAACAAAATACGCTCATTGCAAAATAATTCCGCACATTCCAAATTTAATTTGATGTTCGAATTTTAAACTTGGTTAAAAAATAAAAAAATATCTTTCATCGCTGATCAAAGATCCTGTTTTCAACAAAAATTTTCGGCTACTTTTTTGAAAACTCATCACAATATACCCTTTTTCTGAGCGATATCCATATATTATGTTTTGTGTGTGTGTGTGGATAAAAGTTATTGATTGTTACTTACAAATAATAGGATACAGAGGACCCAGCTGATCGATGTCAAAAGGATGTAGATGAGCGAACGAGAATATAAATGATTTTTGCAGCCTTCTTGATACGCGGCTTCAACCGGGATTCCTTCAAGATTCTTACTCTTTTCACAGATTTCCTAAAGTGCATAGAAAATAATATCTTGACAAAGTTGCAGAGTAATAGTTAGTGAAGTTATTAATCATAAAGTATCATTTAAAATAAAAATATTGCAACTGGATACTAAAGTCGTGTTTAAAATTATAGTGTGAGACATTTTCCTCACTCCTAAATTAAAAGTTACAGGTAGTATCAATTCGGTTTCAGACCAAATAGATCTACAATTGACCTAGTATTTTCCATCAAACAGATACTGGATTAGAATTTAATGATGGTACAAGAATGAAGCAGCTCCACCCGCTAGTTCCAGAGAAATCCGGAAGATGGAACTGCCTCGTTCATCCTCCAAACGAAAAATATTTAATCACTAAGTACAAACTATTCCTCTATGAGCAGCCCGTAAAGGGATGCAATGGAGTGTGACCGTAGGGACGACTGTCTTCGATCATGCACAAATTTGCAACCAAGGACTTGCGGGTCTCATGACAGTGGACCACCTTCATCAAGCTTATGATGGTCTCCTCCCGCTTAAAGACCAAAAGTTTAAAGATGTCAATGAGCTGACCAGAAAGTATATTTCTTTCGATTGAAAATAAACTTTTAATCTACAAGACAATACTGAAACCTATCTGGACCTACGGACTTGAACTGTGGGGAACTGCTAAATATTCGAATATCAAACGCATCCAATCCTTCCAGTCCAAAGTACTTAGAACAATAGTCAATGCCCCATATTATGTCACAAATAAGATCCTACACCATGACCTTAACATCCCATTTGTCCTCGACATCATCCCATCCAGAATTTTAAACTTTCACCAGAACCTTATCCATCATCCAAATCCTCTAGCTCAATCCCTATCCAGCTCCCACCATCCCTACAATCCCCCTCGAAGGTTAAAACGGCAGTGGCCGCGAGATCTATTGTAAATATGCTTCTGGAGTCCTGGCAATGGCCAGCTTCTCCACTCAAGTCCTGAGCATCTGTGGCTCTAGTGCCCTCCTTCAGCCTCCACTGGCTTCCATTACTAGTGATGCGGCTGGAAAAGTGGCACTGGGATCTCCTGGAGTCTTGCTTTGCCTTCCACATGTGGGGGAAAAAGCCTAGCTCGGAGATTCCTGGGCGAATGTATATATTGTATATAGGTATGATTGTGTTTAGAAGTTTCTATTTTATGTTATTTGTTTACTTTTTTTTTTTCTTTTTATTTACTTTCTTCATCAGTATTATTTATTTACTTTTAATATTTATAGTTATTTCTTTATTATTTGTATATACTGTATGAATGAGAACTTATAGCCTTAATACTTATAGCCCTTCAACAGTGGCTGATTGTATTATTATTAAAAAAAAAGTATATTGGGCAAAACGAAATGTGGTTTTAGGACCAGTTGACGTCAGATGCTTCAAACGATCCTGAGGAGACTGAGGGAGAGCTGGAAGACTGAAGAAGAACTGTACATATTGATGTATTATGCCAATAATGCTGTACTTTCTTTGTTAATAAATGTTTTGTAAAGTGAAATATGGTTGATTCTGGAGAAAATGGTCCTACAAAGGTCCTCCTTTAATTCACTTTGGAGCAAAACGGAGGCAGCTCCAAAATTCAAAATTCCATTGCACGTACCTGAGCACATGCATTAGTGTGTATTCTGGTCAGTTGTATTTGGTACTCCTTAAACTAATAAAAGACTGAAAGTTTTTGGTTTCGGTGAAAACTGAATTTTTAAAACGTTTTTATTAATTGGCTACATACTGGAAAAAGTGGTGTTGCCTCCTTCTTGCACCAAGCTCTTCAATTGTTTAAAGTAATGGTCAGTTTAGGTGTTCTAAAAAAAATTAAGTTAGTCTAACAAGGATGGCGCTGACTGATAGAGTTGCTGTAAAGTCAAAATAAAAGGAGCTCTATCGGAAAAGTTAGCAATTAAAAACGGCCGGAGGCAGGGAGACCCCTTGTCCCTAACTCTTTTCAACCTAGCCTTCGAATATGCAGTACGTGCTATACGGACAAGCCCTCATGACACGATATATCATAGGGTGTCACAGCATCTAGCCTTTGCAGACTACGAGGTAATATCGGCTAGATCAAGAGCATCTTTATTGAGGGACAGGTCAGAGGAGTTTAAAAACGTTGGGCCTCCATGTAAACGACGAAAAGACATTTTATATGAAGTCATCAAGAACACAACAGAAAAAATGGAGGAAATTATCGAATTTGGAAGCCAAACTTTCAGGATAGCAAACCAGTTTAGGTATTTGGGTGTTCTAGTTACACCAAAAAATGAACACCAAGAAGAAATTAAGGCAAAAGAGTAGCTGCTGAAAACAGGTGCTATTACGCTTTTCAAAAGCCCTTTAAATTCAGAGGCCTGACTTTTGGTCAGATTAGGAAAGTTTCTACAGAAATTTTTATTTTTGTATTTAAGTTCATTAATGAATTATTTACCGTTGCCTAATTCCAAAACGAGTAGATCTTATCTCAGTGCATTTTCATATTTTTGGAAATCGTGGAACTGTAGCGAATTTCAAGAAAATCTGAGATGTGAGATTCTAACCTTGTGTTGAATTGCTCTACCTTACTACATTAATTAATCTCATGATAAAATACTCCATTTTTGAAAATTTTCGGAAATTAAACAGCTGTAGTTTTAGATCAAATGAAGCCATTTACGAATATTAATAATTTACTAAAATGGGTACCCAACGGCGGACTAATGCTAACATTAACACATTTACTGAAGTACAAAGACAACATAAATTTGATGTTAACATATGCAATAATACAATATGAAACTATTTATAAAACAAACGAGATGTTATTGAGCAAGGTCAAAGAGTAAAGACCCTCGACTTGCCCTGGCTGCACCTCTTATTGTTTTGTATATTATCCCTCGTGTTCTATGACGCAATGCACATAACTGACCTCAGTTAACTCAATAAAGAATTATCTAATATTTCACAACATGGTAACATCTAATTGAAATCAAAATTATTTATTCAAATAAACTTTTTATACAATTATACAAAAACTTAACTTAATAATGTCCACTAAATAACTAATTAGATGTTTTTTTACCCCCACACATATTATTACAATAAGGCTCGAAATCGGATTTGTATCAAATATATGCTCCTGTCATGCTCAAATACCATGGATGGGGTACCGTTGGATTCAGAATTTCACGGGGGGGTAGCGAATGTATTCTCCACTTTTGTTTTTCTTTCTAAAATAAATAAAGCCGATACAAGCATTTTCCTAGGCTTCAACACTGGAACGGTGGTAGGTCTGTAGATCGATACGGGACAAATTGGACCTTGAAGATTTTGATGCGTACACCACGACCCGGATAATTCCTTTCTGATAGTTATCGGATCCTGCTTTTTTATGCCCAAAGACGTACTATTTTCGAGATAACACAAGGTGTAGGGTTCGCATCCACACAACCTTACGTTAATTGTAGTACTGTCATTGAATACATGTCTCATTTCGTCGACTTAAGGCCCCTATGATCGAGGGAGGAGGAGCTTATATTATTTATTGATGGTGTTATTTATCGACAAGCCATATCATCGTTACCAAATCTCAAGATTGAGCCACCAATTTCGAAGACTTCCTTCTCCTTCAGGCGAGCAAAATAGTCCAATCACTCCCAAAATTCCGGCAAACAAGTTAGGAAAGAAAGCAAACTTTATTTGCAAATAACTAGAAAATTACGCACTTTTCTCTAGGTCATGCCCATGATTATATAAAAGATTACTAAATTTCCCACAAAAGGAAAAAAAATCATCGAAATTGGAAAATTGTTAGCAAAGATACAGCTTATTGAAATTTATAAACATGTTCGTTCCAAACATTAATGAAGATTTAAATTAATGTTTGTTTCCTTTGTCGATTATATTTATCGATATATATTTATTGAATATTTAATAATTGACCGTTGCATTATTTTTTTGTTCTTCCCTACCTCGCCTTTTAGGCCATATGGGATTTTTCCGGGCGGGGGGGTGAGGGCGGGGAATTTAAAATCCCTTCCGGCCCCGGGACCTGAACTCATACATTTTAAATCTTCTCAAATCTATAATCCGGTTGCCAGGCAACTCGCGGTTCTGTGCCCACGCTTTAGCCCATTCGGCCACCCCGCCCCCAACCGTTGCATTATAAAGAAAGGAGATGGTCCGGGGTTGCGGTCATAAATAGGCTAAATAATGGTAAAACTATTTTATTGAAAACCGACGTTTCGACCCGACTTTGCAGGTCTTCTTCAGAGCTAGAACGGATAAGATACAAAAAGATAAAGTTTGTATCTGGCCCCGTCGTTTTTGAGTTATATTGAATAGTTAATAGTTGACAGGGGTCTGCTAGTTATTATTATTTATGAAATTCACAACTGTATATAGATTAATATACATTCAGTAAATGTGATACTGATAAATACATGGCATGGCTTGTAGAGAATCTACCCATTGGTAGCACTCTAATAAACTATTTAAATTAGTAGATCACGAGACTAGCTTCTTTTCTGACTCCTAGAAGGTAATTAGATGTTAAAACAAAAATTTAATATTTTATTTTAAAAATCATTAAAAAGCAGCACTACGTGATGTTGCTATGCTACGATCCATACGAGCGACCATTCTGATCGTTGTTACCGGTTATATCCATGGAGTATATAGAATAAATATAGAATATAGAATATAAAATATAGAATAAAATAGAGTGGCCCAGATACTTCCACACTCTTATCTGTGTAGCTTCGAACAGACATGGGCAAATGTTACTCTAAATATTGAGTATATTGAGAGTTCTAATGATAATAAAAAATTATTTCGTATTTCCATAACTCACATTATCTCTAACCGTCTCCAACAACCCCCCATCCACTCCTTCTAACTTTCCCCCTCAATTCTTCAAATCTCATTCTTTCACACGCTCCTTCCTTAAAAACCCTGACGACATCATCAACGCTAAAGCAGACAGACCAATTTCAACTGCCAGTCTATAAATTGCTTCCTGCAGTGCTACATGCCACGCCCTGATGAAGACCTGCAAGGTGGGTCGAAACGTCGGCTTAATAAATAAAAACACTATTTTTTAAAAATTTAGTATTTATTTGACCGCTCCCTCCGACCAACTCCTTCTCATATTATATCACGATCAACCATCTCTACACCATTATGAATACTATTTTATATGTTAAACATTAATTATACTCGTTAAAATATGTGACGTCACTTAAGCAAAATGGTGTCACAGCTATATATGAGACTTCGTATGATACTGATAGAAAAATAATAACAGATACCTTGCCGTAGTTTATATAATAGTCACAGCAGCTATGAGGAATAATTTTCCAATCTTTTGGAGAGTTCCATCCACAGCAGCCATGCTGTATAAAGAATAAAAATATGAATTAGTCGTTAAGTAATTAACTTCATTGCTTCTGTATGTTATATTATTATTAATAAGTTCTAAGTTAATAAGGAAAGCACAAAATATATTTCGGTAATTCAGAGAAAATCTTAGGTTTATTCCAAAATCTCTGTAAGTGGCAATTCATAACCTTAAGTCACTAAGAACTTAATACAAAATCACTTAAGAAATAATGTTTTTTTTTTGAGGAAGATGATGTCATTGCCCGGGGGTGCCGAATATCTAAGGCCTAGCGCACTGCATAACAGTTAGAAAACATCGATATTTGATCATTTTCGATAGGGACTGTCTTCTTGTTTTACGTGACAGTTGGAAAAATGGCTGATATAGAACAGCTTTTACGATTACTCTCTTGAAGAATGGTGTCAACACAGGAGAATTAAAATAAAGCCCATCAAATTATCTTCACTCTTCGACGTAAACGTATGACTTCCTGTCCTACAGTATCCTTTAAGAATTCCCCACTTATCCCTGTAGAACAAATCCGATATCTAGCACTAAATCTGGACAAACGACTCACTTGGAATCCTCATACAAAACTGAAAAGACAAGAAACTGCTTGATGTTTTAGACTACTCCAGCACTTACTAGACAAACGCTCTAAACTTTCTATATATTACAAAAGACTCATATACATGACTATAATAAGTCCAAACTGGATTTACGGAATTGAGCTTTAGGGTTCCACTAAACCATCGAATTCCTCTCGTATCCAACCCCTACAATCCAAAATCCTTCGTAAAATCCTCAATGCTCCTTACTGTGTCACAAATAAAATCATTCATAACGACCTTAACGTGCCATATGTTTCCGATTTAGCGCAATCCAGATACCTATCCTTCCATAACAAACTTCAAAACCATCCGAAACCACTCGTTTCAAATCTTGCTTCCTCTTCGATACCTGATAACCCTCCGAGGCGTCTGAAAAGAAGATGGCCTCGTGATCTACTTATGTAAATATATTATTAGAGTGCTACCAATGGGTAGTTTCTCAACAAGCGTTTTCATGTGATTGTTTTATTACCGTGTGCACATTTACTAGATGTATTTTTAATTTATTCAGTTGTAAATCTCATAAATAATTAATAAGAAATAAAAAACGATTACTTTACATAAGCAGCTCATTTTTTAAAAATAAAAATAATCTAGAAACTTGTATTCAATGAATAATATAAACGACATTAATAAAAATTAAAGAAATTTACACTAATAAAGTTAAAGATAAACTATTTCGTTTCTATTCCTTCTCTAAGGATTAAGTAATATAACCGAATCAATTTGAAGTTTATAATAATCGTATACGACAATATATGAGAGCTAAAAGACCTCTCGAGTATGATCTGTGTGTGCTGATGCATGATTTAAGCTGTAACATTACAGTTGATTAGATTAGATATGGTGTGATAGTTCACAAGTATGGACATATTATGGTAAATCTGATAATAACTATCATACCACAATAGTTACTACCAACTAATAACGGATCAAGGGAGGCTTTCGGGTTGAAGATTCCCGAAGTGATCTCTCCCAACGTGAAGTCTCAAACTGATCTGAATCGAATACTCAAACAATTAAAAGATGGCCTCTTTGTAAATTACAACGCATGATGTGCTTCAGCTTATGAGATCATGCTTCAATGATTTAACCTCGGGAATCGCGATGTAGTTTTCCATGATGTCAGTAGAGTTTCGCCCTAGGACAGTCTGTATCAGAAAAAGAGATAAAATACTCGTGCACCTGCTGGTTCTATTTATTTATTCATGGTTCTAGACCGATTTGACAATCTCTTTGAACCAGAATGGTCCGTTAGATAGGACACTACCAAATTAGCCCCTAACGAATCGGCTATGAATGAATGAAAACAATATTTTATTCTGGGACTACAGTATACCCCTAAGAATAATAACAGAGCTACTTATTTATGAGTCTTAGTCTGTCTTAGAAGAATACAAAATGATACCTAATTAACTGTTGATTGTTAATACGATTTTGCATTTGATTGAATTAAACAGTGTACTGATGCAAGTAAATTTTACATGTTTGCGGAAGTTTGAATATGGAATAGGTGGTGGAACAGAAATTATTTGAAGGAATTTGTGGACGAGGATTGACGAAAGGAGGTAGGTAAATTGTTTCAAAAGGGAGTAGTACGATTGACGAAGGATTTTCTGAAGGAAGTAGTTTATAGGAAGGGATATATAAATTTATTGGTTAAGACCTGGTGTAGAGAGAGTGGACAGTGGAACGTAGAGTAAGGAGTTCCAGGTTGTAGGGAGGGCTTTTGGTTCTGAGTACATCAAAAAACAGAAACACAAAGGAAGTATTGTCGTCGGAAAGTAGAATAAAGCCATTTCATCTATGTGTACCAGTATGAAACCTGAAAACGCCTGGCGATCCCAAATATTTATCTTATGAAACAGTTGATGAGTTTCTTCAGTATCATTTCTAGCTTGGCAGCTCCGTACACCATGGAGCAATGAGTAGCCTGCTACTGAACCAAGTAGATCATGGATCCGTAGCAAAGTGAGGTTGGGTGTTCCCCTCCGGCTCCCATCGCGGCGAAAGATCTTCATGGTATTTAATGCCAAACGAAAAAAAATAAATAAACACGATATTTTATCTTTCCTAACGCTACTACCTAAGGAAAGTGTTGTATTCAAGTCATTTATTGCATTCAGTCGAAAGAATGTGCTGATCTTATTTTATTTTCGTTTCTGTTAAAATACATAATAAAATATCAATATATTATTCTGAACGGATAGTAATCTATCTTATGTTAGCTTGATTTCCTCTTTTAATATTACTATTTCTTGGATGTTGTCCCAACATTCGGACGTCTCTTTCAAGCATATGTAGGATAGTTGCATGCTGTCAATGGTAAATTTTCCACTCTGCATATAAACTGTGCAAATCCATAGGATGATCATAAGAATCACAGAAAGCACCGAGAATAGTGTACAGAATCTAATGAACTGTAACAGATTAGGTCCGATTAATAAACTATTCAGGTTTCTACAGAACACAATGAAAGGGCCGTCGTAGGGTCGAGGCGCCCGGGTCGGGTGAAGAAACAGTAAAACCAGTGTTGTAATTAATCACGCGGAGAAGAGAAAAGTTCTAACAACTCAAATAATGCTTCACAGTTCCTTATATCATATCTTAAGTGTCGAAACAAATTTTCAAAAGAGAGAAAAATCAGATGTACAATAACCTGAGCGATCTGGGATCAGAGTACTAATACATGGAGAAGAAAGACCAATAAAGAATTGCTTACAGAAACAGGTCAGTCAATATCCCATGATATGAAGGCACGGAGGTTAAGATGGGTTGGGCATGTAACTCATAGCAATCCATCTGGAAGCCTCTACGTAACAATTAATGCCTTACCTAGAAGGCCAAAAAGCAGGTAAATAGATAGAATCAACAAAGATGCAATAGAGCTGCGTGAAAATAAATGTTAAGAAATAGCCCAAGACAGGCAGAGATGGAGCAGGCTTGTTAAGGATGCAAAATATATACATAGTCTGTAATGCCAGAAAAAAAAATGGAATTTCTAAAAGTGAACTAGTTTTTTCTGTCGGTATTACAAACCTTGGCTATCTTTTGTCGCCTTAACCAGTCTACCCCATCTTTGGCTATTTCTTTGTAAATATCTACAGCTCTATTGCATCCTTGTTAATTCGATATATCCATCTGGTTTTTGGCCTTCAAGGCTTCCTTATGAATTTCTCGGAACTATGTTGACCCATCTTAACCGCCTTATCTGCATATCATGAAATATTTATTGACGATTTTCTATAAAGACTTCTTTATAGGTCCTTCTCCTCCATAGTACTCTGATCCCAGATTGATTCGATTATCGTATGAAGAATTTTTCTCTCAAAATTTTCAATACTTCTTTTTAGAATTCTGGATAGTATCCAAGTCTCGTAACCGGAATTCAGCAATGGTTTTGCCATAGCTTTGTCTACTTTTGGTATTTCTAGAGAATTCTCGGGATATTAATACTAATTAATAATAATTTGAAAGCTCGGTGAATTATTTTGCATTAATTAATTGTGTTAGTAGTGAATCAGTGGACGTAAACTAGTGAGACAGCTCCGAAGTGAATTGTCATTTAACGAAGTTCAATTAAGATGATGTATACGCGTGCGTATACGAATAGCTCCTGTTTTCCGAGTGCAAGTTACAAATTGTGCATAGAACAAAATTTAGTGCTCATATTTGTAGTGACCAAACTAAGTTTCGGTTTACTGGAGCCACTGTGAACTCTATAAAAAGTATATATTTAGCTATCATTTTGTTTCAATTATTATAATAAAAATAGACGTCATTTTAAAAAGCAGTGTGATACCAGTTTTTAATTATTAAAATTACAGCAAGCCGATTTGGTATTTGAAATTTATCTCTATTTAATCATTTATCTCTCTTCCAATATTTAAATATAGTAAATAGACTATTGGCCGATTTGGGTTGTAGTAGGGGGAGGAGTGTCCAGTAAAATCTTATTCCGGGCGCCTGCAAATCCACGCGGCGACCCTGTAAGGTGAAATATGCTTACTAGGCTCATATGTTTCAAATCTTCTCTGTTGAAAATGACCAGTCCATAAGCACTTAAAAGTAATATTATAATCGATATTATGAAAAAAATTATAAGAACAGGATAAGACGCAGTTGGTGGAGCAATTTTCCAAGAGCAGTCCCGAAACTCAATGAACGCCCAAAGGGACACTATGAATATCAGCAGTCCTAGCAACTGCAACATGCAAACATGTTAATTTCAAAATCTGTAAAGGCGCGTTTACACGTTTCTGAAAGCAAGGCCAACACGAGTGTGTGAATGGGATATTTCGCTTGGTGCGTGCATGCTCTACTGTCAGTTTTTGGCACAAATAAAAGAACCCTGATGAAAGAGCAATATTATGTTCTGTTTTGTTTTTCTTTCACTTATCTATATTTATTTATTTCCGACATCCTACTTTGACTTTTGACTAAACAGGTTTGGTAGCGGTGGAATTTAACAGAAAATGCTTGTGACTTCTCTGCTAGTAAACATAAGATCGAATGATATTCCCTGTAATGTTAGGTCTAATTTGGGACAGTGATTAACTGCAAACATTCAGTGCGTCTTATGGTTACAAGATTTACTTCCGGCCTTCCAGGAATAGAGCCTCTTCCGAAGAACAGTTACCCCAAGTTTAAAGCTACGGATACCTCATTTCAGATAGAACATCTAGGACTTTTCCTGTTTCCTTTTGTAACTTGTCTCTATGTATCATAGGCAGCACAAGCAATGACAACATGCTCTTCTGTCTGGGCAAACCGCAACAGGTGTGTAAGGGATCGATTCCACGACCTTATTTCTGGAGTTTAGCACGAATTTTGATAGGAAATAAGATCAATGATATATATGACTAATACATCGTTGGTAATCTGAATATTTTAGAAAAAAATAATATCGAATATATAAAATAATAGGAAGTAATTGAGAGTGACAAAAAACTAGTGCCTAGTAATTGGTCTGCCTAATTAAATGTCTTAAGTGAAATTCGAGTTATAACTGTTTTCAATCATTATATTACTTAATACTTCCTTTTAATATAAAAGCAGTTTAAATGAAATAACCAAAACGTGTTCAACGCCCACCCTACTTATGTCTCTGGAACCAAAGCGTTTAAATACTCGTTTGTTATTTTTTCTGTTTACCGACACTGTGTGTATGTTTGAGTTGGCGGTTTTTCGTTGACGTGTAAACGCACCTTTAGCAATACATTACTAATGTTATAAAAGATATTAATATGAACAAACAATAAATTACAATTAACATTATTAGTTACCAACACCAATACTAATTCTTTAATAAGGCCTTACAAAGATTAGAGTTACATCCACTGATTACTAGGAATTATTACTTTAGTTTTATTTACTTTATCAAAAACACAGGTTTTACTTGATATTGGTTCTCCTCCTTGTCAAAGTTCCATTTAGCGTTCTTAGTCAAAAAGGATAAATGCTCTTTCAATATGAGAAAAAAAAATTCGAGCTCAGTTCTTTTTAAGGAAGTATTATTTATTGGTCAACAACTGTGCAAGGAAATGATTTAATTGAGATTACCGTTAACCATCAGGTTTTTCTCCCAATTAATTACTTAATTAAGAGTACCCACTTCAGAGGGGTTAAGTAAGCCACAGAAAGACATTCCAATTCCAGAATCGATAACCAAGACAGATGAAAAAAAATAATAATGGCCAAAGCCAGATTCCCAGAATATGTCTTACTCACTGAGCTTACTTAAGGCTAGAATAATAACTAAATAATAAAAAATGATATGCCAAATATTAACTCCTACGAGTTTTGGAGGCACAACTATCTTATTCTTATTATTCTTAAGCTTTGCAAAGATGTTTTTAAAATTTATTACCCTTGTGCAGTTTTTAGTTTAATTTAAATAAACTATATTAATAAGTGGTAAACAATATTAACTGAAATAAATGTATGAAACTGGGTTCTCGTGAGAGCTTTGAATATTTTAATCGGTATGATAACGAATACAAACCTTTTTATAAATGGTTCATATATAGGACCAATATTTCATTAACTACTACTAACTAAGCTAATATAATAACTAAAGAAAATAACTAATGGACCAGTATTTCATTCATTTCTATGTATGTTTTTATACCAACATATTTACCATACTAAACCAAATTCCACTATTTCTCGTCATAATCAATAACATGCTATCATCTTGCTATTCAAGAAGTGGTCGACTGACAGTATCTATATAATAAGCATTTTCATTTTCATCTATCAAAACATAATTTTTATATTTCCCCAAGTCATTACCGCGCCTGTCAACAAAATTCTTGTATGATAATTTTATGAAATGCTGTACACTGTTAGAGATGAGGCATAAAGTAATTTGCTTTAACGATTTTTCGATATTTTTCCGCGTTGAACTAGCATACTAGTTACATTACTTCATATTTCATTATTACAGTCACACTGAACTCATTCATATAGCAGTATTCATTCAAAAAGAAAACAGATCGCGTTCTGTGCACCTAGACCTTTTACACATGAATGACAGGTTTGTGATCAGTACAATACGTAAATTCCAATTACATAATTGGAACAATACTCTTGCTCTTCTCTGACCCGCAACTAGAAGCGAGAGAAGATTGTTAATATACAATTAATTTATGAAGTGAATTACTATTAATGGTGCCATTAACCAGCGAGCAGCTTCTTCATATTTTTGATACTTTTCTTGATCAGATGCACTCCACACATAAACAACTGGTGTTTTCATTGTTACATTTGAATCAGTTGTACGTTACAACTTTTAAAAACTATCTTTAATTTTAATCATTATTAAAAAAATTAAGTCGAACGAAATAGTATTTATTAAGATAACTGCTTAGCTTAACTCTTCGACCAGCTGTTAAATTAGAAATTACCATGACTACTTCTCAAGAGTTCTTGATTTAAATAATAATCGCAGACAGTTTAATTATTCATTGGTTAGCTTTAAAGAAACTTATTAGTTTCGAAGCATTAAACAACCGAACAATATTTATTAAAAATTCCAATTACACGTAAAATGTTAATAGATAACAGACGCATTATCCAGTTATTAAATCGGGAAAGAAATATGACTTATCTGCTGTTGATAAGTTGGATTATTAAGTGTGATAATAAGGGTTTTACTTTCTTCGTTAAATTAGCTGAAGTGCATAAAATATCATCGGTTCGTTACAAAAAGTACATTCTTGATAAACTTGAACTTTTAAGAATGTTTTTGAGAATTTTGACTTCATTTCTCGATAAAAATAAAATACACATTAGTAAGCACATCAAAATGATGCAATAAGATTCCAATATTCTTTTCTCTTCTACCTCTTTGGTTGAGAGAGGTTTGTGTATGTTTGGTTTTGGCACCTAGTTCAAAAGTTGTCCGTTTTAAGTGACAGTTTGTACTCCGAAATAGCTTTCACTTTTTGACTAAACTAATTTTGAAAAATGGTTAAGAAAAGAAGGTTGGGGAGTGCTTCTAAAGGTGTAAAGTCTAGAGACCGATCTCCACAGAGTATGGTTATTTCTTACATAATTATAATTTAAGCAATGATAATCTTTAAGAATAGAATTATTGTATTAATAATTTTCATTGAAGTACCATTTACTTATTTAAGTTCCTGATGTTTACTAATATTAATAGCATAAGTATTATAAAGTTCCTGTAAATATGAAGTTTAATCTGTTATCAAAACCATATTTTTTTCAAATAATTGTTTGATCTGTAATCAGAACCCATTGACTTCCTTAGTTTAGTTGTTTTCAATATATATTAACTTCTTAAATGTTTAATGTGTATTATCTTTTAAATAATGTTAAGGTGTACATATCACAATTTTTTAAATTTAATTTTCATCAAAATTATTTATTTATTATTTATAGTTTACAATTTTTTTTTGTTCTGTTTACAGGTTACTTGCTATAAAAAAAGAAGTAAATTTATTGAAAGCCATTTTCTTTTTGTTGTAATTTAGTTTTCTTTATGTGTTTAAGGCGGTGATGAAATTATATCTGCAAGGGATAGGTTCAAAGGAGCTCTGCAGGATCTTCTCCCGCACAGTGATGAAGAAAGTGATATCAGCGATGAGGAGCAATGGGCTTCCAAGTATTACTTAACTTAAACATATTTTAAAATATTGTCTTAATCTTGGAATAATTTGAATATTTTATATATATGTGTATATTTAGGTCAAAGCGTATAAACATTCATAAAAAGAAGCAGCAAGTGGAGAAACCTCCAGAAGACACTTCAAATAAATGCCAACAGACATTTGTTATGAAAATGTTCGACCGTAGTGTTGATCTGGCCCAATTCACGGAGAACACACCTCTTTACCCGATATGTAGGGCATGGATTGCCAATCAACCTAGCAAGATCTATAATATGTGAGATACTTTTTAAATCAATGCATGTAAGATTTTCTTGTTTGATTGATATTTTAAAATTTCATTTATAAAAGTCTAATGATAATCTGCTATATTTGATGTTACCTTGTTTACTAATTTTTTTTTAACAATAGTATATGAAGTAAAATCATTTCTCCTTTTTTTATTTCATTTTATTTTTTTTATATTAATGTGAGTTGTTATTTAAAATATAATTACACTCCTCCATATCAAGGAGTTACGTTTTCTGATGTTTTTGGCATCATATTTAAATACTTCTTGTTCCAAGGGGAATTGATCGTTCTTCTTTACATTTATGTCATTAATTCATATTCATTAAAGTGTGTAGATAGAATTAATTTTTTATTTTGTTTAATTTAATTAAATACTTTTTTTTTTATTATATTTCTTGTACTTTTTTTTTACTATTTCATACTTTTACTTCTATAAGGTAAACAAATTGTTGAAATGTGGAATTTTTATGTTTAATTTAATTTCTTTGGAATAAATTCTCTCATTGCTAGAAGTTATTAAAATTGAATAAATTACAAAAGAATTTTATGATTAACCATAGAGGAAAGAAAGAAAAATTCCCAGAACGAAATGAATTTTTCGAAAATAGTGATAATACCATAGATGTATTATTTATCGGAATGCTAAAGACTTTAGAAAAATTAATAATACCGATAAATTGTTTTAAATAAATATGTTATTACTAGTTGGCCCGTGCGAATAATTCACAAAAGATTTTGTTTAGTGAAGAAATAGCAGAACAATATGAAAATAAGTAGTTCCTATGTATTATGTAAAGTAGAAATTAATATATTTTCCTTGGTCAATTACAATATTCCATTAAACATAATCGACCAAAATATTTGTACGAATTGCTTTGTTAGGACCTATTTTTAAACACTGACTGGAAAGATAATAAAAGTAATAAAGACAAAATAATGCCCCGATCATGGAATTTTCTAAATTATTAAAAAAAAATAAAATGTAAGAACAACCAAATACCTTTAAGATATAATAAAGTTAATATATCAGCCAAGAAAAAAGTGTAGTAGACTGTTCTACTCCTAAATGCAATATCTATAAACAGGAAGACATTCTTAAGTATACCAAACCTATGGACTGTCTCTTTGTTAGTAATTGTCCGATTCTTACGATTTTTTGTTTTGTTTTGTAGGTAATTTAGTAATCTTTCTAATTATTAATAAGGGTACAATCAAGAAAAAAAATTGATACTTTTTGAGTTATTCGCAAATAAAGTTTCTTTTCCTTCATAACCTTTTTTCCATAAACTTCGGGGGATAGGACTATTTTTCGCATGTGAAGGAGAAGAATATCTTCATAATTAGTGGTCAATCATTGGATTTGATGAAGAATTGACGAAGTTATGGAGTACCGACAAAAAAAACAATTTTTAGAAATAATATATAGGATATCGTAATATAGTTTTAATTACCAATGTACGGAACTACCAATTTCTACTCAAAGTATGGTGGTACTTAACATTCTAGTTTCTAATTTTATCCCAGCCCTCCTTGGGCTCATGTGTACACTGATTGGTCTGATGAACGAGGAACTCACTTCAGAGGAACATGCCCATACTCATTTGTTTACCATTTTGGAACCAGTTAAGAAACGCACTTAAGATTTTCTCCACAAGGTTCATATAATTTTATTAGGGTTGTAAGCCATCTCAAACAAAAATGATTCACACTGATAAACAGTTGAATAGTAATGTATAAAGCTTGCTTTATAATAAAGATGATTTATTTGTTTGATCCATTCAACGTTCTTAAGTATTCAATGTAAAAATAATTATGCTATGCATTTCAGAAGAACTATTTCTGTTATTGGGCCCCAGTTTATTTACATCACCTCTCTTAAAAAAATTTTGTTTAATAGCTCCTTTGAGACATAAATATATGTTCAAAATACTATTCAATTGATGATAAAATAAAGGTGTGTAGTATACTTCTATCGCAGTAATAATATTAATTTCTTTAAATTATGACACAAACACACATTGTTTTTTATTTTTTTCAAAAATTAGGCCAATTATCACCAAAGATTTTATTGATACGCTATTTAATTCGACGTTTTGACCATACTAAGGGTCATTTTCAATTACGTTAGGTTTACATTACCATCTATTAAGTCAATAAAGGCACGTTTAAAAGGTTTCCATTGGTCCTTACTGCGCTGATATATTCCTGGGTCACGAGGTGGCCTCCCAGTTGTTATATTTCTTCTGTTCATTTATCCTAATTTTGGTGTCTTAAGGTTTTATTTTTTCAAAAATTAGGCCAATTATCACTAAACATTTTATTGATACGCTATTTCATTCGACGTAGGAATATATCAGCGCAGTACGGTCCAATGGAAACCTTTTAAACGTGGCTTTATTGACTTAATAGATGGTAATGTAAACCTAACGTAATTGAAAATGGCCCTTAGTATGGTCGAAACGTCGAATTAAATAGCGTATCAATAAAATGTTTGGTGATAATTGGCCTAATTTTTGAAAAAAAATAAAACCTTAAGACACCAAAATTAGGATAAATGAACAGAAGAAACTCACATTATGTTTTTCTTTATAAATTCTTCATTAATTGTTTTCCAATTAATCTTATCGTGGTTATTAAGCATTATAGTTCATACATTTAATAATGTTCTGTATTTTAAAATAAAATACAGAATGCAGTAAGTCATTTGAATTCATAAATAGATCACTTTTTCTTCAAGTAAAGAATCATTTTACTATTCTATCTATTTATTTTTTTTTTTTTGTTTTTAGCAAAAAAGAACCTTTGCTGGAGATTAAAGAAGAGCCGGGATTCCAATATCCTAAGGACGAGAATGACTTCGACAATGTTCGGGACACTTACAGGTTGCCTCTTCCAGATCTTCCTGTTAGCGATATCCAATGGAGGATACCAGATTTGATTCAATACGAGAGCAAATTTATTAACATGCAACAGGTCTCGTTTTTCTTATTTCTTCAACTTTTTATATAAACATATTAGTAGGGTCAACGCACCTGTTATGAACAGGGAGTCAATTGATGGACTTTAAATGTAAATAATAAGCTTCCTTGTTGATTTAAAGGTTTCAATTGTTTCAAGATAGAAGAACAATGCCCTCTATTGGCTGTATAAACAAAGTCTCCAAAAGAAAATTTTAAAATTTCTATCATCCTTGTTTCTATTCTGTAGTGCTCTTGGGATCAGTTTACTTTATGTTAATAAAAAAATAATACAATCTGAACTACAGAACACATGTATAATAAAGTTATACTATTTGAGCAACGATTAGTATAATTAAATACGGGCACGTCCGCTGTTAGATTTACAGAAGGTATCCCTAGTTTTATATAATTTAACAAACAATAAATAATTCCTTGCAAACTAAATAAAGAAAATTTAATGATTTGATGAAAATCTTTAAAACAATTTTAAGTTTGACAACACAAAAATATATAATGCACCAAATTGTCATTCCGAAATTATTTAGAAACTATTAGTTGGTTGGTTGTTAAAGTCAAGGTGTAAAACCTTTTCGTTATAAACGCCATAAATAAATTGCTGGTTGTGAATATAATTATATGTAATCTTAATGTCTGTACATTTTGATAGATTTTACAATATCTCAATTTTCTATCTAACTATTCTATTTGTAATATCTTAATTTTACTATTTATTTTCATTTCTTATACAACTTCATATTCTTTTCTGTTTGATATTTTATTCTAAGATTCCTATTTTAATACTTATGTCATCTTTTTTGATTAGGTTTACTTCATCATTCCACACTTTGTAACAGTTATTATTATGTATCTCTTATTTCTTACTATTGTCCTTATTGTACCCACTTCACTTTACTTGAAATTTTTTTACCTACACTACTTATGTTTCTCATACCTTGTTATCTGGTTCTTTTCTTAGCCCTGATGAAGGCCTGAACTTCAAGTCGAAACGTCGGCAAATGTCAAAATAAATATTATCATTTATTTTTGCCTTCTTATTTGACTGATCACCCCAACTATTCTTCTCTTCATTATTCACGACAGTCAACCATTTACCCACAATTATAATCTTAATAATGGCATCGATAACCAACAGGTTTTACACTCTGACTATAACAACCAACCAATAGTTTCTAAACAATTTCAGAATGACAAGAAACTATTTTATGGTACTTTTGTGAGAGAAGAAGTGAAGTAAAGAGTAAAAAGTGGAAATTATTGTTCGTTATTTAAATCCTATCTATTGTATTTTCATTTAGATTTATTTTATAACGTGATGTATCAGAAATTAATGTACCATATTTGATTAATTAATTTTTTAGAATAGATACTTTTTATCAATATTTTCTTTACTGCTGTTTTTGTGTCATTTTGAATATTTTATTAAAGTGCATTTTAAAAATCAATTATAAATTCATACACCCAAAACACTTTAGGCCAGGCACACATTGAGACAGAGTTAACGCAGACCTGAGCAGTTCATTTTCTTTTACTCATTTATAGAAGGAACAGTACAAAAGTGATAAGCAGCGCTGTGTCTTAATGTACACCTGCCCTGTAGAAAATAATTTGAAGTTTGTATTTTGTTTGTTGCATAAATATCCTCTGCAGAATAGATATAATAGATAGTATACTGTCTACGCATCATATCAACTCGGCATTATCTTTAATATTTTAATTTACTCAACGTTTGTGATATTTTATGCTTAGGAAGGTGTGGAGCCTCCGTCAAAGGATGAAATTCTTCAGGATAATCTTGCTCATTGGAGCAAAGTTCGTAAGAGCTGGATGGAAGCCTCGACTAGAAACGATAGCAGATATAGAAAGAGTATCACAATTCTTAGTGCCATGTACAACAAGTCAGTGATTTTTTTTTTTAAATTTAATTATGCAAATTTTCTTTTAATTTTACCTTCTTTCTTTTTTTTTTTTTTTTATTTTGTACTTGAAAAATCATTTCCACTAGATAATAAACTTTTGTATATATAAATTTTATGTCCATTTTCACTAAGACCTATTGTGCGCAATATCTATAATTCTTTTAAAGTGTTTAACAAATATTTGTATTTATTATTTACATATTTTAATAATTTCTGTTGTAAAAATACTGTCTATCATTTGTTTCAGGGCTCAGAGACAATTCCAAACTTGAAGTAGAGAAAAATTTTATTTAATTCAGAATAAGTGCTTGTTTGTATATTATTTACTTCCTTTTTTTAAAATTATTGTCAATTGAATATTTGAATATGCATTATAGGACTTATTAGTATTCATTATTGGAAAAATATGATTTTTCATGGGTTTTAATCCATTATTTTATTTAAATATATTTATTATTACTTATGAGTTGAAAAATAAATTACTTAAAAACTAATGTTTGTGCAATATTTATACAAAAACAGAAGTTATGAGATTTTATATGTATAACGAAAAAATTATTAAATAAAATTCTATTTTTTATTTATTTAATATTCATTGTTTTGTGGAATTGAAACATATCTCATTTGTTTGAATCAAGATAATACTTCATACATTTATTATCTTATGTGTCATTTGATCTCTGATAAATAAATAAATAAAATTGTATTTGATACCAATATTTATTAACATCCTATTAATTTCAGATATAACACTAACACGTGTTGCCCAGCAACCTGTTAACTGAAGTTATTAACGATAAAATAATTGTGAGTTTGCGTCCTGGTGCCAGGGGGTTAACTTGGCATTAACTCCCCGTCCTCACCCTCTAGTCCAGGAAAACCCCGTACAGTCTAAAAGGCGAGAACAAAAAAAAAAAATGTTCAATAAACTATATAAGTAATATTCAGATTATATTACAGGTAATAAACTGATTATATGTATGTTTTTCACAATATTTCTTAAGTTCCAGTAATAATAAGTTATAATATCTTCATTTTTCATATTTTCATGACCAATTTATCTTGCTTTTTATTGTGAATCTCAACTTACCATTTAATTAATCGAAGCTATATTATTCTCTATTTAAATAATGACGACTCCTCGCAACACCATTAGAGGTTTTAACAACAAATTTATAAGTTTTCAATCCTTCGGGTCCATCGGATGGTCTAATCCTAACAACTCAAACTTATCGCTTCAACATATAATGTAATTGGCTGTTTCATCCTCATCATGACAAAACCTGCACAAGAATGCTTGAATTTGAATTGTTCCTAATTGAAAGGAGCAATGTAAGTAAAGCTAATTAAAGCCCCGACTTTAACTGAAAAAGATCATTAAGGAATTTACCAAACTCGTAAATTGTGATCTAAATAAAGAGAGATTGTACAGCAAGTACATTGTCAATCATGGGCGTCTCTTAATATTCTTCTCTATCTCGGGCAAGCATTCTCCATCTCTCCATCCATTTCAGAATGTCCTCCACTTCATCCAGCCATTGCAGGTGGGGTACTCCTCTGCCACGTCTTTCAGCAGGCGTTTAAGAATTGAACCCCTGTGCATACGCCCCACATGACCCAACCATCTCATTTGGTTACTCCTTACAATTAAGACCTTGACTGTAGAGCCTGCGTAGAACCCCACTCCCTCCATCATGCAAGTAGCTTCTCTTTCTGAGACCTCAGAGATTACCCAAGTCTCTGAACCATAGATGACGGATCTTATGACTTTCTCATACACTGTATTGTTTGTTCTATGATAGAGGGAGCTGTAATTTAGCTATTTTTTAATGGAAAAACGGCATCTAGTCCCAGGAGTCATTCTTGTTTCAGTTCTTCTATATCATTACTTTCTGTAATAAGAACACCTTAATACTTAAAAGGTTTCTACCGCTTTCAGAATTTGATTAATCTAATGTGACACATTCCTCTGTTCTCCTCGTGGTTCTTGAACTTTGTATCCTATTATAAATGCCACCAAGACACGTCCTATTTCTAGGACTATAGATGGCCTAATTCTAGGACAATACAAAGTAGTTTTTCAACATCCAATTCAAAAGTAACTCTTTCTGGTAGCCCTGATTAGCTGATAAGGATCATTAGATTGAACCATTGTTTGGCCGAATAAGATGTAGTGGACGTACTCCTTTTTTGAAGATCATTTGTCCACCATACTTCCAATGAAAGACCACTCTTATTGACTTAGTGTATTCTAAAACACGGAAATCAAGCATACAATAGATTATAGTTAATTAAATGTCTAATTTGAGGGTATATTAATTTCATTCGTAATTCAAGCCCATCTCATTTAATATAAAAAGCAAACTAACAGCACAAATAAACAAAGATCAACAAAACTCTAATCAAACAATTTTATCAACAGCTTAACCTATAAAATGACAACTGATAAACAATAAATTACACTAATATAACCAAGCAACATCACCAAAAAACATGAATGAAATACCGTGTTGATACCATAACATTTTTTTATTACTATTCCGCATAATTCATAACATTAAAATTATTCTCAATTACTATAGATAAGTTCACTGAACGTACATACAGTATTTATACCAATACATATAAAGAGTAACAGAACAAAAATTAATCATCCACTGCCATCATGATGAAGAAAGATAATATCTTCGGCGACAATTGATGTCACAGCTTTGGTGGTTCCACTATCGGTGATTGAACCGTAACCTATCTTTCCAGTTACGTAAATTCGCATACCTTTACGCAAATATGAGAAAGTCAAATCTTGCAAAGATGGTTTAAAAACACATATTCTGTGCCAATCTGTCTTTTCTTTGAATTCACCTGTTAAACAAGATATATAAATTAAAAATAAAACTTAAATATTTTAATAGTAAAACTAATCTGCAATAAAATATGCTGGAATAATAGTCAAAACTATTACTATACAAGAAGTTTCATCTGATTAATATAAAAATAATATAACAGGGCTAGTTACCAGTTTCATATCGGTAATTGTTATGGGTTGCCAGAGAGAACACGACAACAGTATGCTCCGGAGTGCCTTTTTTAAGAGGCTCGTTACCAACCCTACCTAATAGGGTCACCTGGTTGATAGCTGAAACCAAACATTTTTTAATCTTAGTAAATTTAATAAACAAATCTAAAACTTTACGTTGATATATGATATGAAAATTTACTGCACTATTTAGATTACATTTAGTTGGATATTAAACCTGGTACTTATCCAGTAGCGGGTAGCGTTAAAACCTCCCTTCTTATCTAATCTCATTTCAAATAACCTCCCTTATCTCATCTAACCTAAGTTATTCTGTTGTTTAGTTTTTGTTTCTTGTGCCAGGTGTGAGTTTATTTAATTATGGATCTTGTCACATTGTGGGAATTGCCGTCTTCAGAAGAAGAGACTATCAAATATTTTCAAGACGCCGGTATATTTGATAAGGTGAAATATTGTGATGAGGGTCATAAAATGAAGTTCGACGGGAAGATTAAATGGAGATGCTTTCGTAGGGTTGAGGATTTCTTTTTTAACGGCTTTAAAATTCATTTATGGGTGGTCCCATAATTTAACTACAATACAGTGGGGGAAAGAGCAGCTCAAACTATCCATCGGAACTGTCGTAGCATGGAACAAATTTTTAAGAGAAATTTGTGCCCATGACATGTTATACAGGTCGAATAAAAAAATTGGAGGGCCTGGCAAAGTCGTCGAAGTAGACAAGAGCATTTTTCCGAAAAGAAAAAATCATGTGGGGAGAGTCCTACCTGAACAATGGATGTTTGGCAGAGTTTGCCGAGAAACAGACGAGTGTTTTATTGTTAAAATAAACGATAGAAAAGCAAAAACTTTAGTAGAAGCCATTAAAAACAATGTAGAAGAGGGAAGCACCATTATTTCATCTTTTTTTTCTTATTATTTCATTAATTTTATATATATGTTGCAATGTTTTTTAGTTATATATTTATAATGTTTTGGTCTATTTTAATATATATGTTGTAAAATAAAAGCATTTTGTTATTATTACATTTGTTTCTGTTTTTGTTCACAATATGAATACGAAGAGCTTATCAGTGTTAAGGTTATAAACATTGGCAGATAGCAGTCGGACACTACCCGCTATTAGATAAGTACCTTTAAGCTAATGTACAAACACTTAAATATATTTTCATTTGTAATAGTATAATTATAACTACATTGAAACAAAACTAAGCTTAAAATTCAAATAAAAACTAAAGTAATGGCCTGATAGTTGATACAATTAATAATCATAATATGAATACTTTTTTCATAAGCTCTTTGAGTTGATGGGTTATGTTTTTCTTCAAATTCATTGCTAGCAAAAAGCCTGGTTGGAGCCCAATTCCTTACTCTGCAGCTCTCTTGCAATCGAATCAATATCTATAACAATAAATTTTCGAACATTTAGTTTAATTAATTTATTATGTCCTGCAAACAATATTAAGAATTCAAAAAGTTCAACAGAGCTAATAAGGGAATCCACTACACAAGAATTTGTCAGAGTTTTAAAATAGGTTTTACAATTGGTCTGTTCCAATGAATTATTAAACATCTTCCAAGGTATCATTTATCTTTATTATAGTTATATCTTACATTCATTGATCACGATTATTTGCCAAATAAATCATTAGTTTATTTTAAAAAAACCACTAAGTACACTTTTGATGAAGCTGAATTTTTAAAAACATTTTTGTGAATTCTGATCTTATTTAATGATAAAAAAAAACAACAGGCGAGTGCACCAAAATGACACAAATCCTTTTATCAAATATAAACTATATATATCAAATATAGTTACGAGTGTACAATGCTCTGATTTTATGAATTAAAAATTTATCAAAGTTATGAGTGATTCAATGTTATAAAATGTCACTCAACGACTTTTTGCAATAAATAGATGATACCATATAAAATAGTCTGTTAAGACTCATTAAATAAACAGATTGCTCAAATGCTTGAAATTAAACTGTTTCTTGATTCTGATAATTTAAATAACATTACAGTAAAAAAAAAACAATTCTGAAAAATAAAATTTTATTTACAGTAAAAAAAAAATATATGTACCCTTTTTGAAAACATTGCTTACACTTGGAAGAAATAAATAATAAACAATGTCTAATTAATTTCCACAAATATTTGTATAATTATATCTCTATTTCAACATATCATCTAATAAAGAGTAGGTCAACATAACCCTCTTCTGAGCACCATGTCTGTTAACTATGAGTAAGGTTATAAACACAAGAACAATGAACTATAAACGAATTACAAGGAGTTTCAGTATAAAATAAAAGAACCTTTTTATGTTTTAGGTGCTTTTTTAAATAGAAAAAAAAAATTCTTAACTCTGCCTCTAACATCTTATTTAACAAAGATATGTATTTATATAACAGTTTTTAAAGGTAATACTTCCCAAATTATGGTTTTGAGAAATTTATTATGACTGGCATTTGTCTGAGTTTTTAATTTAAGTTTTCAGGATATAGTAGGTTTTTATGGGGTCAGTGGAGAGGGGTATTAATGCCAGAATTAAAAGCTCCCACCTCTGTCACAGGGATAGGAACTTGCAATTATTTTATCATGTAAACTAAAGTTTATCAGGTTGCCAGACATCTTACATAGATGTATCACTGAAGTGCAATCCGAGAAATTTCACTCTGGTAAAAAATCAAATTTTAATTACACCTCCATCAATCCAACACCCTCGATTGTTTATTCTGAACATCCACCATAGATATACACAGGAATTGATAGAAACTTTTCTGGGGAACACCTAGCCTCAAGTGATTTTTAAATTTATTATCAACAGACCTCATTCCAATAGTTTACTTAAATTGTCTTCTATCAGTTTTGTGGTAGATTTATTACATTGTTGTTATTTTTATTAAGATCTTTTTGAATGAATGAAAAATCATTTTTTTCTTGGACATAAGTCTGCTAAGAGTAATTACAAAGTTCAAGAAATATTTACATTAGTCTGGCATGTAGAAATATTCACGACAATAAAAATGGCACTAATCAATTAACTGTTGATAAGCAATCGTGATTACAAAATCTAAAAATTCTTACATGAATGTGGTGGAATCATTAACGGATCCAGGATTTAATTTTTGGAGATGGAGGCTTCAGCCTGAAAACTTTTTTTTCATGTATCTAACAATAATTACGTTGGAAAAAAAAAAGAAACTAACAACCTATATGAAATGGTGTTTCAGCGATTCTTAAAGTCTTATTAAATATAATTACACAAACAATAATACTCCAAGAAATATTTTTCCATAAAACATGGTTATATTTTCCATTTTGAGGGGCTTCATCCCAAAAGCCCCCCTCTTCCCTCTGTAGATCCGCCTGTGGGTGGAATTAAAGTTGTAAGGAATTCATGAATGAGGATTGCCACCTGGTGATAGATAAGGAGTTCCAAAAGAAGGTTGCATGAAAGGCTGAAGGAAGGGAATATATAGATTTATAGGTTGAGGTCTGGTATTAAGAGAGTGGACGAAGGAATGTAAAGTAACAAGTTATAGGATGTAGGGAGGATTTTTGGTTCTGAGGACTTGGAAAAGGAAAATAACAAGAAGGAATTGCCTTAACAGGTTAAGGAAATATAAAGGAAGTAAGAGTCACTTTAACTTGGTGTATCAGCAGAGAACACGAGAATGCCTGGGAATCCCAAAGATAAATCTTATGAAGCAGTTCATGAGTCTCTTCATTCTCACCTCCAGCCTAGCAAACAGCCTTCTATACACCAAGCAAATGCAGTTAAAGTGGGCGATAACAAGGGAGCTTCAAGGAGCTGTCTGTTTTTTTTAGGAATATAATCTTGTGAGTTCCTTCCATCTTGAACTCATCAATTTCTATTTTATAGTGGGAAATCCATCTTTATCCTTTGATATTTCACCTAATATGAATAACCCTCATACTTAAAGTCTCAATTTTTACTATCCCACACAAATATTTAGCGCTTATTGTTCAGTAATTAGATTTCATTAAAAACTCGCTAAGTGTAAATTTATTTAAATAATAACTTCAGTTAACATATACCTACAATAAAAAACATCATATTGGTAATAATATTTAATATATTGACAATAATATATATTCAGGTAGGGTATATTTAAAGATTAAACAGTAAAATTAAAAATAAAATATAGTGTATTTCTTATTAACAATAATGAGATACTCTAAAACATTTAGACGGTACAATATATAACAGATCAAGCCTTAACAATTGCTGAGGAAAAATAACAAAGAAAGACAAACAACCTTTTTTTCTTTAATACTATTCTATACATTTCTTAACCTTTAATCCCACCGATAACAGCTTCTCATGATATGCCAAATAAATCAAATTAACTTCAAATGCAAATGGACTATATAAGTCATCACGTGATGTACATTTGTAAATTAATCTGATAAGGAATATTAGAGTGATTCTCTCAAAACTAGGCATTTTGAAGGTTGGTAAATTTGATTATTTAATTAAATAATTCAAATTCAAATAGTTATTTAATTAATTTTATCCTTATTCAGCGCTTTTTCATCAATATTGTTTCTTGACAGGTCCATACATATATATACATCCAGGGTGAAATTGGAGTCAGGAGATCTGCCTCGCTCACACTCCTCTCATTATTCATTCATTCACACTTCCTCTCATTTTTCTTATCATTCCGGCAAGGCAGGCTCGATTGAAACTACGCTACAGGAGCATGGAACTTTAAGCGACCGAAACAATTTCGGGTGATTGCCAGCCGGTAATAATGTTTTAATTCATAAAATTACTATCTCAGTCAAGGGAATATTTCTCTTACCTACTCAGGTTAAAAAAAAAACCTTATTACCAATTAATTTTAGGTAGTAATTTTTATTTTTGCATACAGCCATTCAATGGTTAATTTTTAAAAAGTATTTTTAATTTAATGTCTTGTTTTCAAACAAAGTAGTGTTTATTTCTGTAATTAATTCTACAATTCATGTTTGTTTAGTCTAACGGAAGAAAATAGGCATGAATAAGAATTCTAATACATCGAACTTCTAACCTGCCGTAACACACAACTATTAAATATTGAAATGCTATACTAATCAGTATATTATTTTCTAGCACTTACTAATTTAAAAAAAAATATTAATATGACGAAAATTTCTAAATCCTTTTTTTGGCTTTTATGAAATATTGAGATTTGTTATTTAAGCAGTTTCACACAGGGCGACAAAGATTAAGTTATAAAAATTGATGTGGCCGAAAAATTTTGATTTAAAACATCAGATATAATGGGGCTCTTCAAGGTGACAATTTTTGAGAGAATCGCTTATAGGATTATAACTTATAGGATAAAACAATTCTATACTAATAGCTAATACAATTAAAATAAACTTATACCTTTGACTATATTTGAAATAAGTGTACAGTACTTAGCGAGGAACAGTAATATCTTAAAAGTGATTATCATGGCAAGCTTCAACATAACGATACTTAATGATAGCATTTTAAATTAAATTTAACACTTTAATAGTAAATATTTTTTCTATGAAAGTAATTCTGAAATCCATTAATTATTATTAAATATACATTACCTATAAAATTATAAATGTGATGTAGTCAAAATTAAGTACAATTACTATATGGAATGTTTATTACCACAGCACAATAAATTATCTAAATTGTAGAAACATCAAAGAGATCGTACGAACAAAAGCCATCTCAGATTAAAAAAAAAACATTATTGTCATTCATGGAAGGAAACGGTCCCGAAGATGATTGTGACAGAAATGTCTCTTCAAAAATAAAGTAAATTTTAAGGATATGGAGATGGTTGACTATGGATTCAATTTTACAAGAAATTAGTCGTCGGGGGTGCGGTAAAAAAATATATATTTTATAGTAGTATATTTTATTATATTGTCCAACGTTTCGACCTACGTTCTAGGTCTTCCTCGGGACTATATATAAAGTACAAACAATACATATTATTTGTTGGATTTTATATAAACAAAATGTAATGCAAATATATAATGATAGTTATATAAATAATAAAAATAATAATAAGAGTAAAAAACAAAAGACTGAATGGTATGTTTTTGACTCTAATTATTATTCTTTATATACCTACTACCTATTACCCTTAGTATACTCCTTGTTATCCAAATAATTCATTACCTTTTCCCAATTGAACTGAATGTCAATAGTCATCTACATATACTGTAACCTTCTATAATTAATTATATATAAAATCCAATAACTAATATGTATTATTTATATCTTATATAGCCCCTAGGAAGATCGAAACGTTGGAAAGTATAATAAAATGTAATATTTTTTTTTACCGCATCTACATATACTGTAACCTTCTATAATTAATTATATATAAAATTCAATAACTAATATGTATTGTTTGTATCTTATATAGCCCGTAGGAAGATCGAAATGTTGGACAATATAATAAAATATAGTATTTTTTTTTACCGCACTCCCACCTCCCGACTAATTTCTTGTGAAAAGTAAACTGAAATTGATCGAACATTACTACAAGACTAATGAATATGATAATATATTTTTTACATTGTAAAATATTATGGTAGCTTCTAGGGTATATAAGGAAGAGCTGTGGGTTATTTCGAGCTATTATACCGGTCGGTTAAATTGAAGGAGAAAAAACAAAAGTAAACGATAACCACCATCCCTCCTTGCTAGTGGTTGATGGGCTTGACACATACTGCTGATTCTTATGGCAGACGTTTGACCATTCTGATTTAATTTAAAAGGACGATTAAGGCTGACTCATGACTAAATTATATTTAGTTACTATAAAATCAACTAATTGGCCCAAGGCCAATAATTCTTGCATGGTCATCAAAAAACTGACAAATTTTAAGGAAATAAAATAATTCAATGTGTCTTAACACATTAAAGGCGGGGGAGGGAGGGTATGCTAGTAGAGATAAATTGTAGTACTACGACTCCCGCCTTTAATGTGTTAAGATGAAAGAGTCAATTCTTATTTTCTCGGTAATTGTGATAAACGAAGGATCTTCACTAATAAAATAGTCTGATTTTTATGACATTTTTTTGTTTTGCAGGAGATTTAGCAATCTTTTAAATTATTACAAGTGCATTCTAGAAAAGAATGTATACTTTTTGAATTATTTGCAAATAAAGTTTCTTTTCCTTCATAACTATTTTTCCTGAAATTTCGGGTGGGAGTGACTATTGAAGAAAATCTTCAAAATAAGTGCTCAATCGTTGTATTTGATGAAGACTTAATGAAGATATGGCATGCCGACAAAAAAAACACTATATAAACTCATACTCCCTCCCCCATTCACTCTCTCTCTCTCTCTCTCTCTCTCTCTCTCTATATATATATATATATATATATATATATATATATATATATATATATATATATATATATATATATATATATATATATATATATATATGTATAAACTTGTACCACTACAACTCATGGCTGAGCACTTTGTAAAGTACTGTTTTAAAGCCAACATTTATGCAGGGAGTTGATTGGATCAAAATCACACTCACCACCAGGTTTTCTTCGTTATTAATTATTTAATTAAGAGTACCCACTTTCAAGAGGCTGAATGTGCCCAAGGAGGATCTTCTGACCCCAGCGTCAGAATAAATAATTGCCTACCACAGTTGAACTCACTCAGACCTAAGACTCAGAGCATAGCATCACAGTCAATTATCATGACACTCAGCCAGTTGAGAATGAGAAAAACTAAAGCCTGGAAAACATCTGATGATTTGTCAGCAAATTTGCCAAATTCAGATTATAAACAGTATTTTCTGACAAGTTCGATAAAAATCTTTGATTTTTTCAAAATAATGAAATTCTTTGAATTTTCCTGGTTTTCCATTTATAATATGGAATTAAAAAGTCAACAATTTAATGATACATGAAGGTTAAATTCAAGTCATACAAATAATGATAATAATTTTTTCCTAATTTACTGACCACAGTGATGTTTCTACAGTCATTATTGCAGTTTATGTCATGGCTATAATACTAAAACTATAATCCTTAAACCCCGCGATTTATAATTTAAAAAAAAAACCGATAATGCAATACCTAAATCTAATTTAAAGGACCCATCACTAAAACGACAAAAAGTATTGCACAGTAGTGATAACAAAACTCTAGAGATTATTATTCCATACTAGACGATAATAAAATATATACAGCCGATACAAATTCCGCAGTCAACGGTAAATAGAAGCTCAATATTTGTACATTACAAGTACAAGAAAGTCTTTTTCCCCATTTGTAAAGAAAGATAATAGCAGCTATTATAGATAAACAGTAGAGCCAAACCTGCAACAATAATAATTATTAATAATAAACAATAATTATATACTATCATTCATGGATACAATTTTAATATAAATAAAATAATTCAATATTTTTTTAATATAATAATGTTCGTTATAACATGGTTGACACTTGAACAATATCAGGAAACAGAAGAGTGAATATATATATATATATATATATATATTTTTTTTTTTTAAGAAAGAAAATTAAATTTTATTTTGAGATATTTAGTTTCCTAAGAATAATTATATTGAACAGAAAGGTGACAAACTGTCTAGCATTATTTTATTTTTTGGCAAACATAAACTTATTCTAGGAACAAATATTTAGTAAACAATTCTCAATAACTCCTCACAAGACAAAGAGTAAATACATTGTCATTTATCACCTACTAAATAGATCTGTAACTTGTATCTGATATATTGCATCAATTTAACAGCTCTTATTTTGTACCAATGGATAGTAATTTTTGTATCTTGTTCTTTTTAGTCATTATAAAGATCTTCTTTTTTATTTTATTTGTTCTTCCCTTCCTTTCCTTTTTAGGCTATAGGAGTTTTCCCGCACCAGGGGATGAGGGCGGGGGATTAATGCCAAGTTAAAAGGCCCCCTTGGCAATGGGAAGTGAACTTGCGGTTATTTTATGCACACCCATGTTAGTCCACTTGGGCATCCTGCCCCTCCATGATAAAAACCCACAACATAGGTCGAAACATCAGGTGTAAATATATATTATATCAACATTGTGTGTGATTGTTAACTCCACCCTCTTCCTTACCTTCCCTCCGAATAACTGTGAAATGTATTTGGAAAGATTTCTTAATAATAAGAATTACCTGGAATAATAATAAAGGATAAGAGCGTAGAGCACACCGCCCGAGGTCATGACTAGGACCGAGGTTCGGGGGTGTGAGATGAAGGTCACCAATCCAGGTGAGCGCTAGCCTCACGATCTCTAACCTTCAGCTCGAAGCTGGAGCTCATTCCAAGCACGCTACCTACAATAAACAACTTATAGTTAATAAATAATAAACTATAATTTTTCTTTTAGTAAATTCTTTTCATAAAATTATAATTATAGTCCATTAAATTATATAATGTATAAACCATAAGTAACATCCAATCCATTAATGAAATCTCTGGCCTTGAAGATGATAAACGAATGATACCCCTCAACCTCATGGATTCAATATATACTGATGGATCGGCTACAGGTGCCACTACTAACGGAGGAGCAGGAATACACTATAGAATTCCCAGCTCGCACCGCTCAAGACAAAGCCATTCCAATGTGTTCGAGAAGTACAAATTTCAAGGCTGAACAGGAGGTTACCTTTGATGTCAACAGAGAAATGAGGCGACTAAAAGGAATCCAGACACCAAAATGTTCTATTAGATGCGTCATCAGTACTTCAGTCCCTCAAGTCCAAATAAAAATCTGGACAGCACACTATAGCAAGAGCGACTAAAAAAACCCAGTACAAAAGAGTAGCACTTCAATGAATACAGGTCACCGCGGACTACGTGGAAACAAAATAGCCGACTGACGAGCAAAGAAAGGAGCTGCATCCCCCCAAGTCAACTCCACTCAAATTCTTTAGGAGGCCATCTCTATAAATAAAACAAATTTTGTCATACAACATATGACTAAGGTGGAATGATGTCACGTTATAATTCTGAAGATGACTGTTATAAAATGAGCAATTTTTACTCTTTAGACTCAGAACATGTCACAACAGGAAGAGAGCACACCTCTATGAGAAATTTAAAATTGGAGAACATACCCGACTGAAACGACAAGAAACCGCTCGCCGTTTCCGATTACTTCAGCACTTACTAGACAAAGGCTCTAAACTTCCAATTAATTACAAAAGACTCATATACTTGACTATAATAAGGCCTATTTGGACTTACAGAGTTGAGCTATGGGGCTCCACTAAACCATCAAATTCCTCTCGTATCCAATCCTTACAATCTAAAATCCTCAATGCTCCCTACTTTGTTACAAATAAAACCATCCATAATGACCTTAATGTTTCTTTTGTTTCATATCTGGCCCAATCCAGATACCTATCCTTCCATAAAAAAAACTTCAGAATCATCCCAGAATCCTCTCATTTATAACCTTGCTTCTTCTTCAATTCCTGATAACCCTCTGAGACGTCTGAAAAGAAGATGGCCCCGTGATCTCCTAATGTAGACATATCATTAGAGTGCTACCATTGGGTAGTTTCTCAGCAAGTGTTTTCATGTCATTATATCCATTATGTTCAAATTTATTAGATGTATTTATTTAATACAGTTGTAAATGTCATTACGAAATAAAAAAAAAATAAAAAAAATTGTAGAAAGCTCTCTTTACAGCTGTAGAACAGGCTACCAAAATACATATACTTCACACAAGTCCTGAGCTGGAGGACATCAGTAAGCAAATTTGGTCAAACTCCACTAACTCGGCGATGAAACGGTGCTCTGTGGAATCTGAGATAGACCCATGGAGTTAATACTCTGAATCCTGGACCTCACCATTTCAAGTTCGAAGAAGAAGATTTAACACATGATAATTTTGTAAATAAAATCATGAGAATTTTATGTAATACAAATAAAATTAATAATTACCTAAACAATAAGTATTGTAAAGATAAAAATATACAGTCAAAGAAATTAAATTTAAAACCAATTAGTGTAAAGATTCCTTCCGTTTTTATCGGGGGACTAGGTTATTTACACTCGTGAATTTAATTTTCTTAAAACAAAACCCCGGCACTGGATATAGACTTTTTGAGGGGGTTTAACTGTCATTGGGAATTCGGGAACCTAATACTTTTGTGACACTGAGTGACAAGAAATAATAAGAATATGTATGTATGAAATGTGGGATTGAGTAAATACACTTTGGATGAATTGACTCTCCTGGTTTGTCATTCTTCAATCGTGAGGCATATAGGACAACTAAATAAATAAATGACTTTTCAATCCTGTCTAACAAAACAATTTATTTTTACAACTGTAATAAGTGAATCTATTTAAGTCTTATAACTTTAGACTTGATCTTCTTAATCTTCAGTGCAGTGCATCTCTCTTCTGATGATCTCCTTTCTTCCTGTCTCGACCTAGAGTGAGTTCTCTTCTCTCCGGCATCCTTCTCCAGCTGTTGCTACCTGCTCGGTCCTATTCCAATCTTTTTTCTCCTTCGTTGATTGTTTATCGATATCAGACTTTTCCATGAATAATTTGTCCACTGCACAATTGAGTACAATTCATCGTGCAACATCAAATTCTTATATATTCCTTCTCATTCCCTCACACAATGTCACATAAAGGAGTAAATACTGGGGGCTATCTATTACATTAGAGATAAAAAATATAAAAACTTTTGTTTGTTGCTTGATCAGTAGCCAACATTTTGCTCTAAAAAGTTCTATAAGTCTAGTATGTATAATAAGTTTGAATATTTTCCTTTGAATTTTCAAAAGTTCTGTATATGCATTTTTGCAAAACAAAAAAGCTGAGAAGATGGAGGCTAGTTTAAGAAAGTAAAAGTACGTAGTAAATTACTGTCTCATTTTTAACTTTGATTGTCATCTAATTAACATAATAACAATTTACTTCTTTGAGTAACCTTCATAAATTTTGGTTTATTATTTTCAATAAGGAACCATTGTAATCTAATAAAAAATTTAAAAACTTAACCCCCTTCAAAATTTGAGGTTTTATGTTTCAGGATAAGTAGAATTCGAAAATCGAATAAAAAATGTTTGTCCATCCGCTGTCTGCACATTTTCTCCAAAACTACTGGACCGATTTTTTTCAAATTTTGATTTTAAGTCAGAGGTCCCCCGAGGATTATCCTCCTACATCAGAATTACTATCCGTCTTTTCCTTTCAAGATGGCGACCGAAAAATCTGTGTTGCTATAGACTGTAGCGCCTAAACAAATGTAGCGATTTCAATGAAACGTGGCTAGTCTTCTTCTATCTCGATACCCTTTAAATTTATCTATATAACATACTTCAACGAAAAGAAGCTGAAAAAAGTTATGAGGAGTGGTAAAATTAGATTCCGAATAACTAAAAAAGTATACACTTTTTATGGTTATTTAAAAGTTTACGAAATTCCCCCCAACAAAATCGTTAAAATTGGAGCAAAGATTAGGTTTCTAAATATTTTTATTATGTTCTACTGCAAAGGTTACATCCTTTGTTTAGGTTATTGATTTTTTGTAAGTAAATTACTAATGAAAAAATTGTTTAGGCCAATAATGGGAATCATCTTTTGTTTCTTTTTCTTTTTTACAAGGAAGGTAATGTTACTTTAGATGTATAATTGTTATAAAATAATAAACCATTGTGAAATAATTTGCAGCGTTTCTTCATTAAGTCAGTCTTCATATCAAACATTAGTCTTGTAACAGCTCTCATAGGACAGGCCTGCAAGAGTAATCTTAGAATCGTTTAAATCTCACTATCTCATAAAGGATAACCAAAAGATTTTCATAAATATTTTTAAAACTATTGCTAGGTTAAATAAATAAAAAAATAAAAAAAAACAAAAACAAACCTGTACCACTACAATCCATGAAGGATCTTGGGTTCAGTACTATTTAGGGAAAGTACAAGGCCAACGGTTGTGCAGGGATCTGATCTGGTCAGGATCATGCTCAACCACCAGGTTTTTCCCCTTAATCAATTATTTAATTAAATAAATAAATAATAAAGAGAAATTTACCAGAGTCGTGACTGAAATACAGCAGTCTGTATCTTCGAGGAAATCTAACAATATTTTCATAAAACTTGAGTTCCAGCCTGTCCCCAGGTTTTGGACAGTGTATCTGCAATCCTGGGATACCGTTTCCTCCGCTATCTCCATTGTTTCTCATCACATAGATGAATCCGTAATACTCGTCCAAGCTGGTAAAGTCGTCCTGGGACAAGAAACAGTTTTCAACAAATTCTATATCTTATTATTGGAGGGCGCTTTAAGAAAACATAGAACAAACACATTACCGTTTAGTTAACAAGATGTAATAACTTTTTATTCTGCCCATTGATTTTAGAAATTCCAATATAAAATATATTAGACGATACATTTAACAAAAATAGAATTACAGTCAATCCTTTTTTTTAAATCTTTCAGGCAGTTTTGATTGACAAAAATGAGAATTAAATTTATTAACTTAAATTATTATTTCATGAACAATTAATTAACAAATTATTGGACCCATTTTTTATCATGAAATACATAAACAAATAGAAATTTCTTATCAATATTTAAAAAAAATTAATTTATTCATATCACATACATTTTTATAACATTTCAGCCCTTTGGCCATTTTCAAACATTTTTTTATGCACGTTGTTATCACTTGTCTAAATTTTTGTGAAATTATTTCATTTTGACAAAAAGTTTTCTTTTTAAAATGGCATTATTTTCCAGGAGTATCAAGTATGAACTCGAATTCATCTTGATCTTTTAATTAATTCTCACTAGTTTATAACTTTTGATGTTCAAAACTATTAAAATATTAAATTTAACAAATTGTTATTTCTTTAAAGTAAACATTGCCTCAGTCAAAAATCACTAATAATTATCGAACATGAGGGTACTTGAGAAAATTCGATACATAAAATTTTCAATACATTGAAAGACTGAAATTTTTCATACGTGTAATATTAAAAACAATTAAAATAATTTTTTTAGGTTCAAAAAATATCAAAGATAATATTTAAGGGTATTAGGTGCATTACTTTTTAATTTCATTTCATTGATATTATCAAACTTTAAAAATTTAAATTGATTCAGATTTCTTTCAAATGTTTTGAATATCTAATTTACTGGCTTTTTTTTTTTTACTTTCACATACCTATATATGTAATAGATGTTATATTTATTTACAATTCATTGTGGATATTTTTATTTGTTCAAATAACCTTATATATACAAATTTTAATTTTTTTATCACTTTATTCTATACAATTAAGTATTAAATAATACCAACCATAGCATTTATGAAAACCACTTATGTATATTTACATAATATTGTCAGAGTCTGTATTATATTAAGCTCATGTTATGTGTATAGTAAGGGTATTGTGATCGTGAAAATTTTCAAATCTGAGTTTTCAACAGAAATACACATAACATGAGATTAATTTAATACAGACTCTGACAATATTATGTAAATATACATAAGCAGTTTTCATAAATGCTATGGTTGGTATTATTTAATACTAGTATAGAATAGAGTGATAAAAAAATTAAAATTTGTATATATAAGGTTATTTGAACAAACAAAAATATCCACAATGAATCGTAAATAAATATAGCGTATATAATTTTTACTTTCACATTCCCTTTGTCGGAAAATACTTATCTCTACTAAGAAGAGGGTGGTAAGTGAAAGTCGTGTGATCCGTGCACCAGATTTTTTTTTGAAATTGTTGATACAAACCACAATTTTATATTTCCATTATATCTTTATTTCTTAACTGAATTTTTTAGTCTTTAGTGAAGTCGAACTTTTCATGCCCACCTAATGATTTTCTTAAGGAGTTCATCACAGAAAAAATAAAGAAACTGAATTTAAAATGACAATCTCGCTGTACATTAAAAAATAGATTTGAACGATCTTAATTACTTGAGCACCATCATAATTTCTAATTTTTTGCAATTCTAGACTGTGTAATTTTTGTAACATTAGACCGTGGGGACAGCTACTCAAAAACTTGGCCATGTTAAATCTTAAAAATAAAATAATAAATAAATTATTTACCCTATAGATGCCAACCCAGTCGTAAGGGCTAGGTGTAACATCTGATCCCATGATGCAATGGGCAACATTCTCTTGATTTGTATACCAGCTCTGGATAGGCAAGAATTTGACTACTCTCTCTGCATAGTTACAGAAAACCTTAAAAAGCAATGCAATATTAACAAAAACTTTAATTAATTTGTCGATTTTACTAATAGTTTTATTACAATATAAGCAAGTGGCCATCGACCCTCACCTTAACAGAGAATAGGGCGACAACGGGCTTATGATCACTGACAGAGAAATTTTGAATCGAGGAATAGCTTTCTTGCTCAGCTTCGAGTGTAATATTTTCATAAACATTGGCATTAACTTTATACAGTATCCTGTCAGTCCATGCAGGCCGTCGCCTAAAAATACAAAACTCATGTTTGGCTTTTTTTTTTGTAAAAAAAAACACAAAATTTTCATAATTGAACATATTTAATACAGTACTATAGATCCCTTTTCTGTTTCTACGGAAACAATGGATTTAACAAAAGAGGTATCATACGAATGAAAATTTTGGATTTTTATTAAAAATTCAATAAAAATCATTGAAAAATTTTAAGTATTTCAAAACTTCGGAGATCTTAAGTGGGATAGGAAAAATTTGATGTGAAAATCAAGACCCAGTAAATTTCCTCTAGTAACGACCCTTGCTTTTTTAGATCCTAAAATTTACCACTATAAATATAAAGTAAGGCTGTATTATTTCATCATGTTTATTTTATTTTTTTACATTAGCTATGATGAGATTTTCAAGCCATCTGCAAGACCGAATTCACAATCAGTTTCATACTAAACTATATTTAACATGAGAAGGAGTTAATTGGGGTTATTGTATGCTTTTTAAAGTTATACATAAATAAAGTTTCCTTATTTAAAAACATTTTTTCCTCTTAACTGATCTTTAGGATGTAATCATTTTTCCCACGCAGAGAAGAAGATAATAACAAAAAATTAAATAATATACGAACATTAAAATATTTTCAAGTTGAAAACTAATGTTAATATTAAATAATAAGAAGCTGACTAAATAAAAATGAAAAGTAATTTTTCATCTTTACTTAGAAATTTATCGTTGAATAGCTACAAATCAAATAGATTGAAAACTGAAATATAATTATTAAATCTTTACCCAAGATCGTAATCGTTGGATTGGAATTTGTATTTGTAAGTTGGAGGGAAGTTGATGTCGGACTCCTTTAGCTCACTAAAAGCTTCTCCTGAGACCATAACAGCTTTCAGCTGATCCTGTTCCAGCAGCGATGACAAATTTCCAGTTTTCACTTGCTGATCGATGTTCGGTGACTTGAGGCTATCCGAACTGTTCAGCCTAAAGTTGAAGTCTCCGAACCAGAAGACATAGCTAAAGTTGTAAAGAGAAAGCTTTAGTATGCCAAATAGGATTATTTCTTAAGGAAATATATATATATATATATATATATATATATATATGAACGAAAAACCTACTCATGGAATAAGATAGAAGTTGTCTCAGAAAAGCTGAATCCTTGAGAGTTAAGGATAGTGTTATAGTCGGAAATCCTCTCTTTGAGTAAGTGGTCATGGGCAGCGAAATGGCTATTGACAAAGCACAATGAACACCCATAAACCTGCAATCTTAAAGTTACACCACCTTTATTGCCCTGAAAAAAAAAAAAACATTTCTTTGTGAATATATGTATTAAATAAAATAAACATAAGAATCCATAATAGTAAATATTTTAATTTTGAAATAATAGCACGTTAGAATCTTTTTTATTTTTTTAGAATTGATAAGCATAATCCAATATGTGAATAAAATAGAACATGGTAATTTACATTGTTATAGACCAAAAATAAGATATAATAGAGAAATTATAGAGTTTTAGTAAGTTCTCACAGTAGTATTAACATCATATATGTAATTTTCATTAGATTAATCAATTATTATTATTAACAATGTGTTTTGTGACTATTTGTAGATAACTTGAAAATGAGTAAACTGCTCAAAACATCGTTAAAAATTAAATAATTTGTTAAACTATAAGGGCTTATATATAATTTAATTTTCAACTTATATAATTTTTAACGATGTTTCGAGCAGTATATATATATATCCTTGGAGATATCATTTGTAAGTATATTAAGTGCCCTTGAAAAACTACTAAAGTAACTAAACATACATGAAGACGATAATTTAATTGAAATTTAGATTAAATATCAAAGAATATTATATTAAATAAGTAATTATGATAAAACTGTACCCAAAAGCCCATGAGGCCAGTCCTAGTCACACGGCTTTCCATGTCACGCAAATGAACAACATGTTTTCTCAAACAGAACACTGACAGCACTAATCCTACGAGCCTAACCGTCCTTACTTTGACATAACCATAAGGAATTAAAGCTTGCCTGAAAACAAACAACATAAATATAGATGTGAATCATATCTTAAACACAAGTTAGATGATTGGAACATTTACCTGAAAGCATTTGTCCAAGGATCATCAAAAAGAGCATCGATGACGTAGTTATGAGGCTGAGACTTCACCTCTTGTAATCTGTAAAAATTGAAGTCATTTAAACTTTAAAAATGAGTATGTAAACTGGGGCAACTTGGACCTGGTAGGGGTTACAGAGATTCAGTCCACAGCTTTTAGACACACGTTTATTTCGAATTTCAAACTAAATTTTAACTATTAAATTTTTTTTATTATTTGAAATGTGCAATCTCAATCTTGTAAATTGTCGTTTTATTGCAAAAAGTCATTAAGTAAAATTTCATAACCTTAACTAATTGGAAACATTTTTTTTATTTACTAATTTTGCCTTTATGAAATCATAAAATTGTGCGATTCTTGTAATTACAATTGATGTAAAAAGGATATGTTTCATTTTCATGCCCTTACAGTGTGTTACTAAACTGAATTATTTCTAAATGGGAGGATGTTTACCATGAAGCATTACATTCAATCCATTCACTCCTTTGTACATCAACCAATACAGCACCACATGAATGCATGTTTAATTTCCATCGCCATTCCAGCATAGGAGTAGGAATACTGACATGGTGGTCCTCATGAAGAGATCTATTCATCATTCAAAATATGATCCATATGTTGATGAAGTATTTTTACTAAAAGGAAACCCGGAATATTCCTATGTAAGACTCGCGGATAAAGAGAGACTACAGTGTCAACTATACATCTAGCTCCTATAGGAGAGACTAAAATAGCTCAAACAAAAACAAAATATCTAGGATGAGCTGAAACACTACCTCCAGAGACGGATGTTACAGATCAGCCAACGTAATCAACAAATGAAACTCTTGAGCAGAATTACACATGTTCTGGGGAATCCAGTTATCAATCCCGATTCAGCTGGAACTTCCTCAAGACTTTGATGTAACAAATCATCCTACTTCACCATCTAAACAACCTTTTAGACGAAGTACTCAAGACAGACGTTCTCTGCCTTACTTAAAAGATTTCACCACTTATGAGGGGTGAATGTTATAAAATATTGTTATATTTATTAGACACACGTGTGTTTAATGTATTGCAAATTTATGTGTAATAAAGTCTAGTTAAGTTAATCTTTCTTTTATAACACAGTGTTTTTGAATTGATAAATAAAGTTGAAATCCATAATAACATTTTTGAAAGTTAACCTATATCAAAAATGTACTTAGTGATATTTTTTAATAAATTGACGATATGATCTCAGAATTCTATTCCAGCTCAAATTTATGCAATTTTTTTTTTTCCTTCATGTAAATACACAAATCAATTGCTTCATTAATGTTTACCTGAGGAAATATTTTAAAATACCACATTTAACCTTTTAATGACAGTGGAATAATATATGGGTTGAGAGGGAATCTGGCGCAGAAGGTGGACTCATACGAGTCGATACGGATCTGGCCCAGGAGATGGTGGATTCATATAAGAATCGAGAACCTGTTGGGCTAATATAATAAAATAATTCAATTATAAAATTGTATAAAAAATAAAGGTTTAAAAGTTCATATTTTTTTTAATTGTACAGTATGTCATGTTGTAAAAACACAACATTTCAATAGTATAAAAGTTAGATAAAACAATAAAACATAAAAGTTTGGAGGAATACTCTGAATAAAAAGGCTAGAGTGGTGAATAGAGGTAATAAAAAGTATTCCATCAACGGCACGAAGAGCTGTTAGCTGATGCCGTCTTCAAGGCCACTCCTTCTTTCCCGCTCATCTGAGTTGCAAAAAGGTTAAGGCAGACCTGTATGACAATATTCGCATGTTTCTTTATCAAATCAATTCTGAGCCGATTATTAGTTTATGGGAATAGAAGATGAAAAATCTAAGCCACAATTCAATTTTTTAAAAATGTCATTTTTTTTTTTCGATATCCCTCTATCTGGCATATAGAGGGTTGTTCAAGAGGTACAACTAAACATATTCCAACCAGAGAGAGAAGGTTGAGAATTATTCTTTTGGTCCACTATGAAATAAATTTCAACCCGCTCAAGCCCAATATGAAACAAGGTGTCGCTAGACTCAAGACTGTTGATTCAGGTTACTTATTTGTCACCTTTATCCACTTAACCTCTTAATAGTCATGTCTGGTTATTAGGTCAAGATACATCAGTTACACTGTACATAGCATCCTGAAAGCAGCCCAGTGTGTCAAAAAGAATACCAAATCGACCTATCTCACAGACTTTCTTAAAATAAGTTATGAAATGTATATGATGATGAATCCATATCCACTGACAAAGACTCTGCCATAGACTTACATAACTTGAGCATAGTAAGCTTACTCGTTAACAAGTTTCAACACTTGGCTACTTTCGGAATTCACATCTACAGCATGATGAAGTGATCTTAACAACTCTGTCAACCAGATGTGACACTTTTGAATTAGTAGCTAATTTTTTCTTGGATTAAAAAGCAATTTTTTTTTTTACTAGTTCCGAAGTGCTACTCTAATATGACAACTGTGCACATCACATCGAGGAATTATAAAAATAACAGTGTGAGCCCAAACGAAGCATAGAGAAACTAATCTCCAGACTTTTTAAATATTAAAAATACAATTCAATAACAATCCTATTCATTAATATTATTGGTTATTAAAATTGCTATAGTGACTCCTACTATGGTTTCAATTAGATCAGATCTATTAACCATTACCTCAAGAGATAAACATACCACAATTGATTTCAATTGAGGTCAAAGCTTATCAGTGAGAATAGATCCTTTTCAGTTTATCATGGTATTGAATGGATAATCAATGAAAGATTATTCATCTCCATTGATAAGGACTTGTTATTGGTAAGTTAATTTGTGGAGGAGGAAGCGGAAATCATAATATAATCAATGCAACAATAATTTTAATAATCACTAATATCAAGTCTGTTTCAAGTTTTGACTATCAGCAAACTGTTAGGTGTATGCAATGTACAGTTTTTATATTCTACAACTGTCCTCCACATTTTCCTGCTAGATTGATGATAGTCAAAACTTGTATTAAAACAAATAATCCCAATTAATCTTTTCTTAAAAGGTAGATGAAGTAACCTAATCCATTATAAACATTCTGTATAAGTATAGGCCTGTTATTACATTAAAACATGAATGTGAATGCCAATATTTCAATACGTTCAAAATTTCATTTATAGTGTGATCAGTATATTTTTTGTCCAGTTATCATATAGATAATTCAATACTTCAAAACTACATATTTTTCAAAGATCTCCTAAGAATAAGAGGAGAGGCAAAAGGTCAAAGAGAATGACACCAAAATTCATTAATGATTCCAGGAAACAAATAACGAAGATGTCAACATGAGAGTTAAGTTTATTCAACTATGCCAAGAATCAAAACTTGTTATCAAGATTTGCACATAAAACCATTTACATGAAAAAATAATATTTTTCTGGAATTTCTTGGAAGATATATGTTAATTACATTGTATCATGATGACCCAATAGTCAAAATTGACAAATCTATAACGTACATTTAATATTTAAATGATTCAATTAAATTTAAATATTTTTAATACTAGAGAAAACCCTCTAGTATCAAAAATATATAAGTATTATGAAGATTTGAGTTACCCAATAAGATAGAAGTCTGGTAGATTACTTTTCTGACTTGTATTTTCCGGTAAACCTAAAATTTCTAGAAGTTTACCTTCAGGGCTCTTTGTTGCCACATTATAAGTTATCACATATAATCTGTAACAGTAAATATGATTATCACAATTGTGTCAGATATTAAATCTAAACTAATCTTATAAATTATTTGTCAATCTTGAAAAAATTGGATCGGGCCATGGTATTTAAAAATAAAATATGAAATATCATCAATAGATCATTAAATATGTGTATATTTTTTCTAAAATACAATAAACCCATAGATCTTTTAAAAAGTACCTTAAAACGTCCATGATTTTATTAGTAAATATTGTAAGATTGCATTACTGTCTCTGCATTTTTTCAAAAAATGGTTTATGATTTTCAAAGTTTAATTTAAAGGGGGTGACAATCCACCGTAAAATAAAAACAACTTTCAAACAAATATAACCTACAAATCCATTTGAAACCTTGAACGACCCTTCCTTTGAAGGACAAAGAGATTAAAATGATTGTTAACATAATTATATTCACATATTTGTAAGGTTCTCGACATTGTTAATTAAAATTCAATATCTGAGAAAATTATATATGTAAATGATCCACGTGATAACCAAGCGCAGGCTTTATTTACCAGAATCTGAATGATAAGTGATTTATCGTAATATTCTGTAATTATTTATTATTCCCTTTAGATTTCTTTATTAATTGTTTATTTAATATCATTACACGCCTCTATTTATGTAATGTTGAATGATATTAGTAGGACTTATCAAAATCATAAATATTGCTTATCCATTCAATACATTATAATTGTCCTGAAAAAAAATATAAGTCTTGAATTTTAATTATTATATTTGTTGATGGAATGGAAATGATTAAGCGTAGTTCCAATTTAAGGAGTAGTTGGTAGAGGGGTGCAGTCAACAATCACATACTATTTTGGTGTAAATGACCTAGCTATAAATAAATTTCACACCCAAATATTGTGTAATTGTTTACTGTTCTCCCCGATCAACTATTCCTTAAAATATGATATTAAGTTTACATAGTCCGAAGAGGCTCTTGAACAATTTTTTGGCAGAACCTGTCATGTTCCGATGAACTTTACATCGTTTTATTAAGCAGCATGTTGTCAGATAATATTGAATTTAAAATGTCTTGACCATGTAGAATTTGAATTAATTTTTTTTATTCTCCCCTTTCTGGTGGTTTTCTGGTGATTATAATATTATTTTATTGAATATTTAATGGTTGACCGTTGCATTATAAAGGAAGGAGATGGTCCGGGGTTGCGGTCATAAAAAGGCTAAATAGTGGTAAAACTATTTAGCCTTTTTATGACCGCAACCCCGGACCATCTCCTTCCTTTTTAATATTATTTTAGTTCAACAGTTTGCCAAAGCACCCCGCCTCTATTAAATGAGTTATTTAAATTAAACCAAAAAGTTAGGGGAAGTAAAATTAATGTAAAAATTGTCTCGTGGACATCCTGTAATCGCTAAACACAACCTTCAGAGGTCGGTTAAAGACATTGACCTCTGGTCGAATTGATAATTTTTTAACAGAATTTACTTTTAAAAATGTTGGACAAATGATGATTTTGGACATTAAATGATTTTTAATGTCGAAGAACCTCATTAATTTGAAAAGAGAAAGAATTGATAATTTAAGAACTGATTCTATTTCATTGCACAAGTTGAGACATTGAGGAGACAATAGATGAACAAATGCATTATAATTGAGGTTTTGGGCTCGCAAGGCTGTCTGATAATGAAATTTGGGAGTGTCCCGAGGATACTGATTCATATTTCACAATAATTTTCTATTCAAAATGCCATTACATTCAAGTTTAAAAGTTATGTTAAGATTGGCTAGGTTTATTACGATTTATTTAAAGATTGACTATTATTGATCTTATTATAAAAAGATGTCCAGTACTTAATGAGGAGCAGATATTTAATAATAATATAATTATATACGGATGACGGATAATATTTAAATAGAATATCAATGTATTGTTTATAAATAATTTTTGAACTACGTACATAGGAGAGTAGATAGACTTTACAAGATCAGCTTTAAACAGTTCCAAATGGTATAAAATATTAAAAAATACAGGTTTTGTAATATTAATGGACTAAAAATAGGATTGGTTAAGATAATTTAAACATTAAAATGAATTAATTAATTATGTAAATATTTATTTAATTGAAAGATGGACAGTACACTCTAGCGCCGAAAGGAGGAAGCCACTCCCGGCATTCACTCTCTGAACTAGACCAGAGATATCAGGGCAGCTCTTTCTACGCCCAGGCTCTTTCAAAATGGCGTTTCCTCAATTACTCACCTGAATATACGTCCTGTGTGTATGTGTTCAGCTCTTCATCCCCTGTGCTACGAGTTCAACTTTACCCATTTATTATTGACTTCTTCGATTTCATTTAATTACATATTCCCACTTGTAGTTCATTTATGAAGGTAATATTTCTTCATCAACTTTGTTCCATTTTCTAACAAGACATTTGTTTACGCCCACATAAACCATTGAGATTGTTACTCCCTTCCCACAATAATGCACAAATATTTCATAATTTTCAGTTAACATTTACATGTGAAGTTTATTATTGTTTTAACTTTTCATTCATTCGAATTGTATTCTCAACTTCTCTTGTTCTCTTCTCAAATCCAGAGAAGTTTACAAAGAAATGTAGAAATTGGACCTTATTATTATGTTCATGTGAAATTTTAATTGTTATATCATTTTACATTAATACCTTAAAACTAACAGTTCCATTCATCAACTATATATATCTTTAAACAGTTTCTAATTATTGGTTTAGGAATAGTTTCATCCAACATGGTCGCACCCGATAAACTGGTGGATTCATCAATGGATAGAGGCGAACCAAAAGGTGACATGTCACCTATGAATTGTACTGTTTATTTTGAACTGTATATCGGTCAGAACCGATATGCGTTCTGTATAGAACAGGATACAGTCTTATGGGTGTTGCATGTAGTGGTTTTAGGATTATCCAGCATGATTAAAAATGCCTTTCGTTTAAAACCCACCCTGTTTCACAATATATGTGTGTAGCATTTACCTTTTTTTTTTTTTAACTATAATGATTGACTTATTATAATATATCGGAAGATACATTCCGAATAGTGTAGATAACTTAGAGGACGGTATGCCAACTTGCACATGCTGCACTATTTTATATTATTTTTTTAATTTATGATTTGTTATTAATCTGGTTGCATTTGAATCTAATTTGATAATCTTAAAATAAATATTGTGAAACTCTCCTTTTATGCAATTCCGTCACAGCTCATGTACAGTGCACATAACACATAAATCCAACTCAATCTAGTTTGGCTGGTGTGGTCAATTTACATTAAAATTTTTTGCTTAACTTTCGCTGTAAATAACAAGGCTTGATTTGAATATTTACATATATATGTTAGTATCACAACATATAACTATTGCTAAAACTATTTGGAATTGGTGAATTGAGAAATAATTTTGAAATATATTTAGCAATAAGGAATCAATTGTTTTGTTCCTTAAGATATTTACCTCTAATTGTTTGTGATCTGATCAAATGATAAATATGAAATTAGCCGGAAGATGGATATGTGTTACTTTTCATACATGAGTGCTCATGTGAATCAAAAGCAGCCATCCGTATTCCATTTAGATTGCATATTGAACTAGTTTTTTAGTTAGGAGTAGTAGAGTTATAGATCATTTAATATAAATACTAACAGACTACTTTGATATAGGTACCAGTGACAACCATACAGATTCAGTGACTAATGGGAATCAAGAATATAGTGGTGATGACCAGGTAATCCCCTTAAACAATATATCTTTATTTTGATCATGTTTAAGTTTATTTTTATTACCATCAATATATTTTATTTTATGTTCATTGCATACACACAAATAATTTCTATTATTTTCTTTAAAAACTATTTTTTAAGCAATATCAGTTTGTTCAATGTTGGTTTTGAGAGAAACTGAAAAATTACTGTCATGGTTTAGTCAATATTTCATTATGTTTAGTAAAATATTTACATTGTTTTGTTTTTAAAAATTATATTCCCAAAAACAACTAGATGATAGAATAATGACCGTGGAAATCATTAACCTTCTATGATGAATTTTTTTTCTTTTTAATTGTCCATTGTGATATAAATAAATATTTTTATTTTTTTAATTTTTACTCTGTAAACAAAAGAGATTGTATCATTATTTCTCACAAGATAGAAAGTATTTTCTGTGGATTCTGAGCTACTTTCTATCTTATTTTTTTTTAATTGATAATTAGAAATGAAAGTTTATTTTATTTATAATTTAGTTTTAATATTAATGAATTATTGTAAAATACTGGATTAAAAAGCTATAGTAAATAAATCATATTTAATGCTTTAGAATTCTTGTATCCCTTAATCATATTTATCTTGAATTTATATCAGTTTAATCACCGACTATTAAAAACTCATAATTGACTTTTGAGACAAAGTATCAGTATCATTTGAAAAATATTTTGTCTTTAAATCTCAGAACTAATTCTATAATCATTCGAACCTTTTTACTAGTATTGTACCTGTGGGGTGAAAACAGGTAATCTTATCTCTTAGTCTACAAGTAAACTTGTTTTGTCTAGAAATTATTTAAGAATTATCAAATACTTTATTAGATTTTGGCGATAAATTCTATAACAATTTACCAGCATATTCACTATTTGAAAAAAATGTTAAAAAAAAAAAAGACTCACGGAAATGGACAAATTTTTTCGTTATAATAATATTTTAAAATGTTATGGTTTTATTTATCTATTTAGTGTTTCGTTTGAACATGATTTTTTTGTTTTTTTAGATATTTATGTTTGATCTTTAGTTTAGGTTTTTATCTACCATATTTCTCTATGAAAATCATAAAATAAGGATGGGTGATAGTTAAGACTCAGTCATTTATAAGGTTTTTTAGGTTATACGTTTCAACCTAAGCATGTGGGTCATCATCAGGGCATGTTTCGAGCACTTATAGTGACCCACATGCTTGGATTGAAACGTTGGCACCAATAAAAACGTTAAAAATGGCTACGTCCTTTTTTATCCTTGATATGTATAACAGTCTACTAACTTCCTTCAATAATTTATAAAATAAGTAATTGACCTATATTTGAGGGAATTAGTATTTCTGTGGTAATAGAGTGAATAATGCTTTCAATTATTGTAACTTAAGTCAATTATATCTATCCGAATTTTTATGATTATTCATAATTAGGATGGTTAAGAACTGTACATGAAAATATCTTGTCTGCTCTATATACGATTCATTACATGAATTATAAATATACGTTTGTTTAAAAAATATCAAGTTTTTTATGTTAATACATGCAGACTATTATAAAACTAATGAGCTTTATATTTATGAATTAAACATGAAAGTTCATGAGATTTTTAATTTAGGGTATTGTATAGGAAAAAAATTTCTTGGGAAATTTAAAAAAAAATGTCGTGTTTGACCTTGTTGTCCTAATTAATATTTCTAGAGGTCGTTCCTAATCAAGAGTTACTATTTAAAACCTAATTTTTTTTGTGTGTGTTTTTGTCATTTCTTGTGTAACATCCTTGTAGATTCGTTGAAAAGTTAAAATGAATTTGATGTCCTGTTAACAACTTTTATAAGTTGAGTATATTATTACCACCAATATTAGCTTATAAATTTATATTAATATTTTTTTTATTGATGATATATACAACTGTATTACAAGTAAAAATACATACAGTTAATGTGAACAAAGGAATAAAGTTGCATGAAATCACATGCTGAGAAACTACCCATTGGTAGCACTCTAAAAATGTATTTACAAAAGGAGATCTCGAGGCCATCTTCTTTTCAGACGCCTCTGAGGGTTGTCAGGGATCGAAGAGGAAGCAAGGTTAGAAACGAGAGGGTTTGGATGGTTCTGAAGTTTGTTATGGAAGGATAGGTATCTGGATTGGGCCAGGTCAGAAACATAAAGAACATTAAGGTTGTTATGGATGATTTTGTTAGTGAAAAAGTAAGGAGCAGTGAGGAATTCTTTTACGAAGGATTTTGGATTGTAAGGATTGGATACGAGAGGAATTCGATGGCTTAGTGGAGCCCCAGAGCTCAACTCCGTAAGTCCAAATAGGTCTTATTGTAGTCATGTATGTGAGTCTTTTGTAATTGACTGGGAGGTTAGAGCGTTTGTCATATTAATATTTGAATATTTTTTATTGATTAGTATTGAAATATTCATAATTACTATTTCTGCATGAACAAAAAAAAAAAAAAAAAAATCTAAATATATATAAGGCCTGCCAAGTAGGGTTAGTATAGCTTTCTCAATATTTTTGCTGGTTACATTTATCAGAATCGGATTAATGGTAGTAGGTGTCGTAACGGCAGGCCTGGTCTAGCCTCGTGGCTTCTAAGGCCATTTAGATTTCTCTTAATGTAACTGTGGGCTGTACTTTTGAGTAAAAAAGCTTTTAAAAAATAAAAAAAGATGAAACATTGTTGTGTTATGATTTAATATAATGAATGTTTGAGTGTTAATAAAATATTAGTTTATCCTTTCTTTCACTATATTTTTAACATTTGACATCTGTGAATATAAAATAAAAAACTGGAGATCATAGTCGCTTTTACACAATTTAACAAATTTTCTTTTATTTAATTTCTGTCTATTTTCCTACTGCTAGGTAAGGGAAATGTAATCGAGTGAAATTTTTTATGTCAGTTTTTCAGTAGATCTTAACTTTTCAGAGCTCTCTGTGTCCAACAAATGCAATTGATCTATGTGTGCGTGTGTAACAAAGGTATCTCCAAATAAAGTGACACATAGGTTTACTTAATTTAATAAAAATAATATTAAGATTGTTATTCCTTAATATTTAAAAAAAATATTTTTTTTAAATACTTAACTACATTAAAATAAATTTCACTTACTTTTTTGACTATTTTTCTCTTCTTAAACTTCCATGTTTTTATGATCAATATCTTTGTTTAGGATTTGACATCTAGTCCAAAGTGCGAGGACGTTGGCAGGCAACCATCATACGTAGCTTTGGCTTGTTGTATAAGTGGCTATACAACCCTACATTACGACACCACTAAACAGAGGCAAGCCCTTAGATCACACCCAGTCAGTCCCATTCGACCAGTAACTAACGGTAAGCCAGTTAAACCTCTTTATTTTTACATCTTAAGTTCTTTCTAATTTATTTAATGGAAATTGATTTGATTCTGAAAAAATTGTTTTAGGAAATGATAACCACCACATATATAAAAGTGATACTGGAATTTATTTACATCCAAATTCAAACGAGCTGAATTTAGACATGCAGAGTGACGGTAAAGGTAATTTAGAAGAACTTTGCATTAATTTATATTTTTTTTAACAGTTGCTGATGCTGAATAACACCGCGTAATTAATATTTTAGGAATTGAAGTTTTACCTGGTTGTGGAAGTTTGAATTCGCCAAGGCACATGCTCAGGATGAGTGTCACTTCAGAATCGAGAAGGAATTTTACTTCTTCGTAAGTAAAATTTTGATATATATACCCTGATGAATTTTCTAAATAACTAAGGGATATTCGTCACTTTATATTGAGTATTTTAAGTCTTGAACATTTTATAAGTTGATTTAGAAGAATTGTCCAGTCTAGCTCACTTTGTATGTTTCAAAGGTTTAAATTTAGTATTATTAGGGGCTAGACATGCATGACTGACTTTTAGTGGGATGTGATGTCATGCCATTTCTCTGACTTATGTCTAGTCAACGTACACAAGCATCCAGTTCTCTTTCTATTTTTTATCAAAACCCTTCAGTTTCTGTTGAAATAATGAATGAAAGTACTAAGGAAATGGATATTGATTTTATAATATCACGGACCATTGCATGATAAAGGAAAAATACAATTCTTCCTCATCTTCAGTTGTGAGAAAGCATTGTAATAGAAATTCATCGATGGTAGATTTATCTATTAACCGACTAAGTTGGAAAATAAATCTTAATACAAATTTCCTCTCACGTTCACGTTCTTAAGGTTATCGTGTTACTTTGAATAAGATATTCGATGAAATTGAATAATGTACTTCTTTTTTTTATCATTTCTGTAATGATAAAGTCCACATCCATTTATTAATGATGAATTAAAAATAAACCTATGATTTTTAGCATGATTGTAATCATGTTTCCGATTACAATTGTAATCAGGCAATGGTGTCACATTTTTGCTATTGTATCAATTATAAAATTGGAGTGGTCATTAAGCTAAGCTTCATATTCAGTTGTAATCGTAGATTCAGTTTTTGCCCATCTCTGTTCCCAACAATCTGGTTGGAAAATAAAACACTTCATTTTTAGACATATTCTTACAAAGATTTTAAATATCTCTTAATTTACCTTCTTGTTGACATGTTAGGATGATATCGGAGAACTACTCTTCATTCAGCGGAACCAATTCTTCAGCTACAAGTAGCCACTATTCGTCCCACCATTTCTCAACGACAAGCAGCTCATCGACGACATCCAGTTCCTACAGCCGGGAAGTGAACTCTAATTCGCATTCCTCATCATCTTCTTATAGCACTGAAATGACCAATGGTAATTTATCAGCGCATGATTTTTTAAATTCTCTTAAGATTGACTTATTAAAATTAATCATCAATATTTAAATATTGTAGAGATTGTTGACCGTGATTATGATATGAGAAGGAGTTGGTCGGGGGTGCGATCAAAGTCTACCAACTACATCTTGCAGCCACGCCCTGATGAAGACCTTCAAATTGGGTCAAAACATCAGCGTAACTAATAAAATACTATTAGTATACTATACTTTTTAGTATACTACTAGTTAATAGTATTTATTTGACCACACCTCCGACCTACTCCTCATAATATTTAAATGTAATTTATGTTTATTTTTTTGTTTATTTATGATATTTACAACTGTATTAAAAATAAAAAACATTCAGTAAATGTGATCACTGGAATCTAATAACATGAAAATGCTTGTTGAGAAATTACCCACAGGTAGCACTCTAATAGATTTATATTTAAAAATCATTTTTGTAAATATTTCTGATAGAGTGTGAAAATACAACTTTATATTTGTCATATTTTATCCAAAAAAAGAATAGACTACTGCAGTATATCAAAGTTTATTGGAGGGAGAGTTCTTTCTGTTTTAGAACCCCTACAACACGATCGGGATTTTAAGAGATTGCTATTAATCATATAATTTTTTTTTTCCGCTACATTGCGAAACCTCCTGTGGACCTCTTTCGATTATATGAATTGAAATTGAATATAAAGAATTGTTTTATATACAAGAACAGTACCATACAAGTAGAGGTTAAGTTTTGCATGTCTAAGAAATTTTCTTTTAAATTTTACTAACCTTTGTGATCCCTGCAAATAAAGTTCCGACATTAGTGTGTCCTCATTTTTGTTTTGTTTTTTTCTTCTACTTTATTCCGTTTGTTCGAGTAAGCTATCTATCTATCTCGTTGGCGCTACAATCCGAGGATGCGTCTTACCCTCCTCTAGGAGCTTCCGCCGTCCAGCTCGATCCATTGCTGCTGCCTTTGAGTTCGGTATTTCTAGTAGTATCCTGGAGTCAGCTGCCATGCCATCTATCCATCTTAACCTAATATGTCTGTCTCTCCTCCTGGTCCGGTCAATTCTATCCTCAAGGACTCTTTTAAGAATTTCACCCCTGTACTCTTTGAAATTTGTATGGGCCTATTTCTGTAAAACTTATACCTTGCTGAAATCCGTCGGCCTTTACCACCACATATTTAGTTTTGCCCTCATTTATCTCAAGCCCCAGTAGCTCATTTATCCCAAACAAATTCCATCAGAACCTTAACCAATTTTCAAATCTGGAAAAAGAAAAGAAAATGACTTAATCCATCCTCATCTACCGCTAACCAGTGTGAGACTTCCATCTTTCCTGTATGAGTTGTTTTCTTCTCGACCAATCCAATCCTCTCCAGTCAAAGGCCTCCTTTATTATACTTTCCCAGGTCGCCCTCTAGATCTTCTACGTTCCACTTGCGTCTCATAAATGAGCTTTGCTAATCTGTCTTGTGGCATCCGAGAGACGTGTTCGAACCACCTTAGCTGGTGCTTTTCTATTTTTTCCTTTGTATTCTGCAGACCCAGATTGGATCGAATAGTGGTATTCCTCACTCAGTCTCTCCTTTTTTTACCTTCGACGCTATGAAGATAACACATCTCCATCCCTGAAAGAAAATTATATTTATTATACAGGATTTAGTGGCCAAACTGCAAAAATGAACTAAGGACTTTAAAACAAGAAAAAAATTTCCTCTGAAGGTATGTGTGCAAATGCTTTGTTTAGGAGATACTCACACCTAAAGATTTTTGTTGTTATAAATTATTTATGTTATTTGAAATAAATAAAACCTATTTATTTGTTCCATCTACTTTATTAATTAAATTTAAGCATTAACATTCATGTTGTTGTTCAAAGTGATTCCTTTGAGCATTAAGACAGGTTCGACATCGTTCTTCAACAGCAGCAGTGGCAGAACGGCACTGGATATATGTTATTGTTTTACAAGATTTAATTATCCTTCGTAAGGAATTAAGGTCATTGACCGGACTTGCATTGACTTTTTGTTTAATGTCGCCCCAAACAAAAAATCCAGTGGTGCTAGGTCTGGAGAGCGTGCAGGCCAATCCATTGATTAGGATATTTGATATGATTGAGCAAGTCTGTTAATCAAAACAAATAAATAGGTTTTATTTATTTCATATAATGTAAATAATTCATAACAACGAAAATCTTTAGGTTTGAATATCTCCTAAACAAAGCGTTTGCTGACATAACTTCAGATGAAATCTTTTTAAAAGTTTTATGGTCATTAGTTCATTTTTTCAGTTTGGCCACTTAACCCTGAAACATCCTGTATAAAATAAAGTGAAGGAATAATAAGTTTTTTATTTTGATAATTGGATGCATCCTTCCTCCGTAGCCTACTCGGCAGCACTAGTGCTTGATTAGTTTCATTGACTTATATCTGTTGCAGGAGGATCCCGGCTGATAGCTGCAACTAAAGCCCCCGGGCAGGTCTCCCCTTCCTCGTTCATCGTTCAGAGGGTCGAGAGGCTCTATGGTCCTGGTGCCCTCGCTCAGGGCTTTTATTCTCCTCGTAGGATATCCACAGTTTCCAAGGTAACATCTGAAATTATTTTAATAAAATTTAGGATATACTGTAAGTTTATTTTAATATCATATATTTAACTATTATAGAATTAAGTATTGGTTTTAACATTTGAAATATTAATTTTATATTTATATAAACTAAATATGAGGCGAAACTAATATTAATTAAAATGCAATTTGATAGTTTAGAAGTATAAGCATTAATCCGTTGGACAGATCTATTTTTATGAAGTTTTTAAAGCTCATCTAAAACTTTGTGAATGGTTTCATTTTATTGTAAGCTAAAAAATTTTTATCTATAAAAATTCTCGGAAATGGGGTGTTTTCAATCTTGAGGACAGTAAACTTTGTTAATTCATTGATGTGCCAAAAATTCGTGAATACACATTTGTTTTCCACTTGAATCATAAAATAATTTGATCACAAAAGTGAGAAAAAAATGGTCTTCCTAAATATTAGGCCGTGTGGCCTATATAACCTTGTTATTCTTAGGTGTTGGAGGTTGTAGTAGACATCCCCCTGTATTTACTCCTTTAGACGACATTGTGTGAGGGAATGAGAAGGAATATATAATATATAGGAATGTGAGGTTGCACTGTGAATTGTACTCAATTGTGCAGTGGACAAATTGTTCTTTGAAAAGTCTCATATCGATAAATAATCGATGAAGAAGGAAGAAGGTGGAAGATACCGAAAGGACCCAGCAGTTAGCAACAGCTGGAGAGAAGAAAAGGTATTCTAGGCCGGGAGAGGTAGAAATGAGGTTGTCAGAAGAGAGGACAGACTTGAGGCCTGGACATGAAGACGTCATCTGGGAAGAGAGGCTTACTACGTTGAAGACCAAGATTATCAAGCCGACAGTTCACTTATATCTATTCATTTATTATCAGTTGTTAAAATAAATTTGTTTTGTTAGACAGGAGTGAATAGTCATTTGATTTAGTTGTCCTATAGGCCTCACAATTGAAGAATAATAAACAAGATGAGTCAATTCATTCAAAGTGTATTTACTAAGTCCCACATTTCATATATATATATATATATATATATACTTATTGTTTCTTGTCACATAAGGTATTAAATTCCCGAATTCCCAACAACAGTTAAACACCCTCAAAAAGTCGATATCCAGATCCGGGGTTTTGTTTTAATAATTCACGAGTGTAAATAACCTCAATCCCCGATATATAAAAGCGGAAGGCTATGCGCCTATTCCCGCCAAAACTAATCATTTACAATTAACTTTCAGTAGGTTATTTACAAGGTGGAAGTCACATCAAAGAGACAAATATTTTCATAGGCCACATTTGTCTCTTTCATGATCTGATTGCCTCAGGTCAAGGTTTATTATTTTCAATAATAAACCATCGTAATCGAACAAAAAAATGTTCTTCCCTACCTCGTCTTTTTGGCCATATGGGGTTTTCCTGGGTTGGGGGATGAGGGCGGGAATTTAAAATCTCTTCCGCCACTGGGACGCGAACTCATACTTTTTTAATCTTTTATAACTAGTTATCTGGTTGCCAGGCAACACGTGGTGTTGTGCTCACATGTTAGCCCATTCAGCCACCCCACCCCCAAAAAACGTCTTTTTTTTTTGGTCCTCCCCTTCCTTGCCATTAATGCTATACAGGATTTTCCCGGGCGAAGGGGTGTGTCCCGGGATTTAAAAGACTCCCCTGCCATGGGACAGCCCATATGCTGTCTGCATTTTCTCCAGAACTACTGGATCAATTTTTTTCAAAATTTAGTTGTGCCGATGCTCTTTTTTCTTATCTTCTGCTTAAAATAAAATCTGTGCTTTGCTTCTTATGCTTTTTTTTTCATTTCTGTTTTAATGTAAAAATAACTAATAATACAATCATAATGTCTGTTACAAAACTAGCTAACCTTGTTTTTCTTTTTTACTACCACATTAATGATTATATGTACTCGATATAGGATTCTAAAGGTTCCTCTTTAAGCAACGGTTGTGACAGAACTGATTCTTCTGACTCGCTCCCAGTCTTGAAGCTGCTGCGTCCGGAGTTTAGGGCTCAATTGACCGTTGCGTCAAGGAAATCGAAGGGACCTTCTGATCAGAAAGCTTCAATAGAAAGGTGAAACATTAATATTCATATTATGCAATATAGCATACATATCTTAAAGATTAATTTTCTAAATTAATTAATCAAATAAAATAAATAAATAAACTTGTAAAGGAAGTTGAAAGAGATACTGAAGAAAAAACAAATTATTGTGTGATCTTAAATAATTTATAATTTTCATTTTATTTATTTAAATGACAAAATTTTGTTCAATTATATTTTATTATTAGGGCAAAACTTTCTAAGCATATTAGGGTCAACTTAAAAGAAGATTGTTTTGCCCACTAATAATTGCAGTTGAATCCCAATAATTTGTAGTCCCGTTGTTTTGTACAACAAGCTCATCTCAAATACATAACCAAGGACTTCTTATTTTTTATATTATCATATAAAGTACAAACACTTTCAAATAAATATACTTATTCTATTTTATATATATAATATTTTTTTTTCATGGTTTTAAATAATAATCATTATCATCTATTGTATAAATTTGTTACTATTTTTAAAAAACTATCTTCTATGACAACTTATATGATTCCTTTATTGAATGTGTTTAGCTATCTTAAATCTTAATTTAATTTTTTTCTGTTTCTTTAAAGGCCACAAGATTAATTGATTTTAAGAACGGTTTAAAGAAATAAATTTAAAAGCTAATATTAAATTCTTTTCAAGTATGTTAATAAATAATATAAAGCCTATTGATAAGATTATTACAAATTCTACCCGTCAAATGTCAAGAGAAGAAAAGATATGTTATCAGTTTAAAGCTCAGTTAGCAAGAGTGTTATTTTATTAAATCCATGTATTTTTTTTTTTTTTTTATTAGCCAGCTTCATATTGAATTGAGTTATGGGTGTCATTCATTAACTTGAATTTTTGACCTGTATTATTTAATGTGTTATCTTTTCAAATTTTAATATCGCCGTTCCTTGAAAGCTATGATTTGTATGACACTGCATCATACGTCCAGGGATCCTTTAAGGCCTACTTTTGCTGCTTCTCAGCTGTAAGTGCTATATTATTCATGATAGTAAATTTGTTTGTTTATATATCTATCTATATACTATCAGAGCATAACAGTATTCAAATTTCAATTATAATAAGATATAATTTTATTAATATTATATAAATTTTTTTTAGATTTCACCAACTATAGTTTAATCTAATAAAATTCTTTTTGACTTTTTCTAATTGAAAAAAAAACTTTAATGCTGCCAGGTTTTACAGAAGATAAAATAATTAAATTATCTTTCATAGGATCTATGTTCCATTGTAACCAGTGATGTACAATAAAAATCAACTTGATTTACTACATGCGTTATTACAATTAATCTAAAGGGGGAAATATAATATGGCAATCAGTAAAACATGCTTTTACCTACTCTTATATGAAATATATAGTAGGCATAACATTTTCTAATCCGAACTTGCAACAGAAATATATATAATAGTGGGTAAAATGGTTGACTGTCGTGAATAATGAAGAGAAGAATAGTTAGGGTGATCAGTCAAATAAGAAGGCAAAAATAAATGATAATATTTATTTTTACATTTGCCGACGTTTCGACCTGAAGTTCAGGCCTTCATCAGGGCTAAGAAAAGAACCAGATAACAAGGTATGAGAGACATAAGTAGTGTAGGTAAAAAAAATTAAAGTAAAATGAAGTTGTTAGAATAATGACAATAGTAAGAACTAAGAGATAAATAATAATAACCGTTACAAAGTGTGGAATGATGAAGTAAACATGATCAAAAAAGGTGACGTAAGTATTAAAATGGGAATCTTAGAATAAAATGTAAAACAGAAAAAAGGAATATGAAGTTATATAAGATATGAAAATAAATAGTAAAATTAAGACATTGCGAATAGAGTAGTTAGATAGAAAATTGAGATATTGTAAAGTCTATCAAGATGTACAGACAATGTATAATATAATAAAGAGTTAAAACAGAGAAACGTCGGCAAATGTCAAAATAAATATTATCATTTATTTTTGCTTTCTTATTTGACTGATCACCCCAACTATTCTTCTCTTCAGGAACATATATATTTTAAGATACAAAAGTCCAAATAATCAAGTCTTGCAAAATGATCTGTGTTTTTATAAACAGCATATCTCAAAAATGAAAAGATGTATGTAACTATATATTTTAAGATCCAAAAGTCCAAATAATCAAGTCTTGCAAAATGATCTGTGTTTTTATGAACAGCATATCTCAAAAATGAAAAGATGTATGTAACTGAAATTATGACTAAAGTAGATAATTATATGCCTGGAATTTTAAAAAAATGTTTTCATGAACATATCACTAAGTTTAAATTACTATCAGGTTGTTCCATCATTCACATCAGAATTATACACTATTTTAGAAGCCCTAAAATATATAAACCAATCAAATAAAAGTAAATTCATAATATTAGTAGGCAGTTTAAGCTCATACAAGTAATAAACAATTATAAAAACATAAACAGTAATATTAACCTATTGGACATAATTTAGTTACACAATGCATCTCTAAAAACGAAAAACACGTATTCATATGGTTTAAAGCATATATAGGGATTCTTGAAAATAAAAAAGTCTACAATTTAGCAAAAGAGGTTTTACACTTACACACAGGCGAATGAGTGAAAATTTCGTTCTTATATATTGATTTTCATTTAACTATCAAGGAAGATTGTAGGGACATTTGCCAAAAACATTATCTAACAGGGGGTATTATAAATCTATATTCTCAAACATTTCACACAGCCAATGGTTTTCAACAACAAATCTCAATAAAGACAAAATAAAAATATATTGTAGATTAAGTTCAAATCACAGGTTATGTAGTAATTATTTACAGCATATAGGTGTTTCGAATTCGTCCCCATGTGAAAATTGCATGAAACTTAAGAAAATCTAAAGGAACGCTTTTCCTAATCCTAGACTAGGGGTTTCCTAACTACTCTCCAAGCACCTTTAATATTGCCCGTAGAGTTTTCTTGGATTACATGGTAAAATTTTAAAAACTATTTAAATATTTGAAATTTAGCAAATATTTTTTTTAACCGTTGGCATAAAGCACTACGACTCTTGAGAATCTATTGTGCACCATGTGTAATGTCCGTTTCATGCCTAAAATGTTAGTTTAGTCGCTTCTGCATATCTTAATATGCTTAAAGGTTTGATAGACTCATAGCTTCAGAGGTAATCCACTCGATCCTCTCCAAATAGCTTTAGTCTAAGCCTTGCAAACCTATTCCATTGACAAACAGTGTGAAAGTCTACTTCATTCTCCTCCTGACAGAACCTGCATAGAGAGTTCATGGTCACTTGGAGATTCGGAGATTTAGCATGTGATCATTTAGGTGTAAGTTTTTTTAGAATTGCTCTGTTCAAACTCAGTAGCAGCTTGCTTCTTTTATCACATGGACTTTAAAGGAACAGCTTTGAGTGTCATTTTTTTATCAGCCCAGTGTTGTTTGAATTTTTTCCCATATAACCCCTAATCCTTCTTTTGGGAGTACTCGGGCTGATTCCACAAACAGGTTCAGGAGTTATGGGAATAGTATCTCAGCCTAACCTGGTTAGATTGTCGTTGCTGAGGATGCCAGATTGTTAAGCGCTATACTGCACTCTTTAACAACCTTTGAGTATGTATAGTGAAAATTTAGCGAATTACTCGCACGTGAGGTTTCTACAACATCTATTGCATGGATTTTTCTTTCTTAGAAGGCACATTTCAGAGCTGAAGTGCCATTTATAGAATAAGATTTTTTTTTTCATTACAAGCCGTGGCCTGCAGGACTTAGATGGAGGTTTCAAAACGGCTCACGGAACTTCAACACGGAACAGCCTGATAGTAATTTAAACTTAGCGATATGTTTGTATTTGTATATGTATATATAACTTGATGTTCCTGAAAACATTTTTTAACATTCCAGGCATATACTTATCTGCTTAAGTCATAATTTCAGTTACATACATCTTTTAAGTTTTGAGATATGCTGTTCATAAAAACACAAATCATTTGGCAAGACATCGTTATTTGGACTTTTGGTACTTAAAATATATATATTTCTGTGGAAAATTCGGATTAGTAAATGTTATGCTCACTATATAATTCATATATATAGTGGTTTTCTTTACTTTTTATTTTATTTTATCAATTTTATTTATTGTTTCAACACTCAGGCCAGTAATATTCTATTATTTTGTACATTATTGTTATTCTGAAGGGACTTAGTCCCAGAATAAAGTTTTTTTTTCTATCTATCTATCTATCTATAAGAGTAGGTAAAAGTATGTTTTACTGATTACCATATTATATTTCCCCCTTTAGATTAACTGTAATAACGTAGCTAATAAATTAAGTTAATTTTTATTGTACATTACTAGTTTCAATGGAACACAGATCCTATAAAAGATAATTTAATTATTTTATCTTCTGTAAAACCTGTCAGAATTAAAGTTTTTTCTTTTTCTTTTTTTTTTTTTCAACGTGGCCTACGCCCCAAAAAGTTAGGAAACTCCAGCTAGACAATAGCAACGTTATATATAAACAAATGATATCACTGAGTAGTAGAGAACAGATAAGAGCAGTGTAGTAAAATATTTTAAAACAATTAAGAAATAAATTTTAGTCAAAATGGTCAAGAAAAATCGCCATGAATTCCTAGCGGGCTGTGTGGATTATTCAATGCCATCAATAATAAATAAAAAAGTTAATAAATAAAAAAAAACTTACTGGAAGTGCCCTTTATATAATTTATTTTATACATTTTTATTAATTTTTCAAAAATAACTAATATTAAATAGCAATTTCGACAAAATTTTTGTTATATTAATGTTAAATTAAATAATAATGAAAATAATTTGAATTAATAACTAAATGAAAAAATGGGAGAAATATATTATTTTTTTTCCAGGATATAAACAAATTTTCAATAAATAGGAGTAATAATATAGATGTAAAATATATTTTTGGAAAACTAAAGATGTAAGAAAAATTAACTTATTAAGTCATTAAATGCTCATTGACAAAAAAAATAATGATTTTTAATTGTATTTAATAAAGTTTACTTTTGTTCTTATTTAATGGAAAATAAATGTTAATGTAGAAACTAAATGAAATTCTTATGAAAAATTATTGGAAAATATTAACATTTATTTTCAATTTAACTAACCAAAAATATATAATTGTACAGAATTTTCATACTTTATAATAATTATCTTAAGTTTGTGCTTATATTAAAAATTAATATTCTTCAGATTTATTAACTTGAAAAAAAAAAAAAATAAAATATATATATATATATATATATATATATATATATATATATATATTTCTACTGTAAGATAAAAAAAATAAAATAAATAAATTCGAATTACAAATTAAGAAATAATATAATAATTGTTTTATGGTTAATTAAATTTGAAATACCTTTGCCATATCAAATATACATAGTAAAATATAAACATAAAAAATGAAGATATAATTTTAAATTTGAAACTATTTTGCTATTATAACAAATGGGACTGGTATCTTAAGACTTTTTACTTAAATTCCATTTTATTGCATAAACATAAATTGTTTATTTATGAGTAAGTCTTTTAAATTAGGATTTAGTACAAGTTATTGCTCTAAGGTTTATTCCAAGCCTACATGTAAATATTTATTCTAAAATGCATTTCAAAATTATAAGTATCAAATTATTGTAAAAAAGAAATAACATTTTTTTTCTCAAAAATAAATGAAAAATAAAATAAATTTTGTTGGTTTAACTACTTATAATAGGAATGTAGTTAAACTTAAAGTAATTATTTGTGAGGATTGATAGTTATATAAATAGTTACTTTAATATTTTTTTATTATTAATATTAATATTAGAATCAGTGCTGTGATGTAAATATCTTGAAAAGAATATAAATATCAATTATAAGTGTTATCTATTTTATTCAGATGATGTCTAGGTCGAAATAGATAATTTTTTGTCATATGTTTACTGTTATATCATACCTATCTGATAACGTAGGTTAATTGTAGGTTATGAAAACAATTTTTTGATTAAGGTTATTTTTGATTAAATGTGATTAGCACAACTAGTGGATATGGTTATTGTGACATCCGACGTAATGGGAAACATCTTTACCGAATTCTGGTTTGGATATCCGCAGAGAAAATGGTAAATACTGTAACTAATAAATTTTACAAAGTGAGTGGGAGAAAAAAAAAATATGTGACCTTTCCTTCATTATTTTTCTTGTTGGCAAACAACTATTAATAAATACTTCTTGATTCTTTTTGCAATAAATTAGATAGATAATTATGAAATGAATTAGGGCTGGTTACTAGATTATTGGTTCAAAGTTAATTGATTCTTGTATTTAAATCATTCTGTACTGCTAACCAGACGCAACAAGAAAACAATAGACAGCAAGAAAAACATTTTTGAAATTTTTTTAAAATTTTAATTCGACATGCATGAATTTTAAATTTTTACTCATTGATGAAGATTAAATTATAACAATAAAAAAGCATGAAGTTCCAAATTTTGTGGGGGAGGGGAGGGGCAGAGCTATGTCCCTGAGCTCTCATACTGTTGGATATCTTTATACTTAGTTCTACCATAAATACTGTTTCAAAAGTTGAACTTTGTTTACATCCTTCGGTATTATTTAGATAATCCTTACCTCTATCAGGTTATTTTCTTTTACATGTCAGGATAATAATCCCAATTAGTTTGTATTTTTCTTTCATTCAGTTAACATGGAGTGGGGTGATAAAGAAAACCGAATATCCATTATCGTCTTACACAAAGTTGGAAAATGTAGGTCAGAGATTTTCAACACTTTGAAAACTTTAGGTATCAGCCGTATGTCCGAGAATCGCACTATAAATAGATATAATGAGACCCTATCTGTATGTGACAGACCTCGATCAGGCCTGCCTTCTCCGCACTGTGAGAATGGCAAATGCAGTGAGATCAGTGGCTACTCGATTCAGAAGAAATCCCATTCGAAAACAACAAAAATCATGTGTCGGGAAATAGGAATCTCTGTCAGATAAATATCTCGCATAATAAAAAGTGATCTTACAATGGGTGCATTTTGAAGAATGACAGGACAATGGCTACACAATTCCCTAAAAAAAATTAAAGTGAATAGATACAAAGTGCTCCTTGGCCGTTACACCAATGGTCTTCATCGAAAGATTTTGTTTAGGGATGAGAAAATTTATACAATCAAAGAAAAATTTAATCGCCAAAATGATCGTGTGTATGCACACAATTTAAAGAAGCTCAGGAAGTCAATGGAAGAGTGGAAAGAGTTCATCACTCTTCCTCAGTTTGCTTTGATGACACCACATAACTCTATTTTTGTAAAAAAAAATGAGTTAAAACTGCCACTAAAAACCATCAGGACGATATTTTGAAACCTGTTGTCAAGTCTCTAAATGATAATCTGTTTGCTGGAAGTTGTAGTGTTTTCCAGCAGTAGCTGAAAAAAAGATCAAAAATATCAAATTAAATTAAATTATTGACTTAAAATTTGAGAGTTTAAGGATTATGTGGTCATAGGGAAAATAAATTATACTTTAATGTCTGAATGGAAGGCTAGTCTCCGAAAATTTGATGAATAACTCGCTGTTCAGTCATTCCTCAGTTCTTTTCAACCCTAATGATATAGCTTGGTATCGACCTTAAAGTATTAGGCAATTTAAAGAAATTATTGATTTTTAAAATTCTTTAAGTAATTGAATAGTGATAAAAGTAATCAAATTAAATTTCGATGATATTAGGGAAGAGAGCCAAAATATGCAAAATGAGTGGTGGATTTGAATGATAAATCTTGACAATAATGAACCAATAAATATAATATTTACTTTATTATTTTACTTAATATTAGTATAATTTACTTTATTGAGTTTCAGTTTATTTTATTTTGTAATATAAACATAATGTATGGATATTACTATTTACTCTCAAAGGGTGTCCTGTTGAACAAAGAACTGTTTTTATATTTTTACTCATCTTGCTAATTTTTTTGTTTATGCAGTGATGATAATCATAAGGAGAGTAGTGAATCATTGAAAACAGAAGAAATACCAAAACCTGTTGAAAACGATGAAGTGGATGCTACACTCGCAGCTAAAGCTAAAAGTGTCGTGTTGGAAGAGATTAGGGATGGGCAGTATTACCTGAAGGTGCTTATAACATACAGAGTTTTTTTTTTATTAATATTTTTTAATGTTATGTAAAACCAATTATACTAAAACATTTATTCTGTTGAAAGCTTCTCGATGAGAAAGTGAAAGATCTTGAGGCATTGGCTCAAAGAGCCGAAGATGACCTGCCGGAATGCACTAATGACGAGGGCTGTGGCATGCTGCGAGCCGCCTCTGGCAAAGCTCGCCTCCTCGTAGCCGAGAAGCTCAATCAGTTCCGAGGTCTCTGTCACAACAATCTGGTATGTTGTTATCTTTTAATATCATTATATAAATAGGCTAAAATAGAACGGTTTAGTCTCTTTTTTTCTCCACTGTTTTTCTTTTTTGTCTAGTAGCTACTGATTGACTTTAGTGTTATCAATAAATAAATAAAAATTGAATGAAAATAGTCTACATAAATAAAAATACAAATGTTAGTTTGTTCAGAACAGCTAATCTCTGAAAATTCTTCATTGATTGCTTTAAAATTTTTAGATAATTTTGCAATAAAATTCAGGAGTGTTTTTATATACATTTCATTGCCATCCAGACTTTTATTACTATATGGCAGCGAAACACCGTGTGTCGCTTTAAATTTTAATGAAATTTGGCTAGTCTTCACCTTGAAGCTTTTTTAATTTATATCTATTACATACTTTCCTGAAAACAAGCTGCAACAAATTTTACGATGAATTCAGAATTTTATCTGCAAATAACTCAAAAAGTACTTAGTTTTCTATTATATCCATGTTTATTCGAAAGCTTCCTAAGTTTCCTAATACAGGGGGAAAAAATCAAATTGAAAAGAATCGTGTTCAATAAGATATTTTATTCCTTTTTTTTTTTACATTTTCTTAAGTTTATATTTTTTATGAGAGCTCTATTGTGGCTTATTTTATGTTTGATATGATATTATCAACAACCTATGGATTAAGTGGAACTGTCTAATCTCGTAGTTCCATTTAATCCATATGTCGTTGTAATAAACATTTTGTTCTAATGTTCTGGTCAGAGTCAAAATCTAGCCATATATCAGAACTGACTTCATCACAGCATTGCACACTCTTAATAATTTGGGCTTTCTAGATAATTTTAGGCATTTTAGTACTTTAGAAAGTTAGAAGAAAGGTTTGTTATACTTTGGCCTATCTATTTATTATTATTTATTTATTTTTTTAGAAACAATCCGAGAAGGACGATTTCCCAACCACCAATGAGGATTTGGCTGGGTTTTGGGACATGGTGCTTCTTCAGGTAAAGGAGATACTGGCTCAGTTCGAGGAATTAGAGAGGGCAAAGAAAAACGATTGGAAGATAGAGGACCCTGTATGTATAATAGTTAGATTTATTTCATCTATTAATAAATAATGCAAACATTAAATAAATACTTCATGGACATTTGCTAATATTTGTATTTTTTTTTGACATATGACATTAAAAATAATAAATCTAATTAATTTTTTAAGTAATGTAAAATATATAATTTTTACTTTGACTTACCTATTAGAATTATATAGTAAAGGAAAGTATTGCGATCTTGAAAATTTTTGAATCTCATTTTTCAACGGGAATACACGTTTTGAGGTCTCCTGAGTCCATATAACCAAGCCCCGCAAAATGGTCTGTGTGTGTGTTAACAGTCTAGCTCATAAACGACAAGTCGTGCGAAAGTGAAATTGCATATTTAAGGTTTTTATATGCTAGGGATGTTACAGTAACTTTTTTGTCAAAATCAACTGACCGGAAGTGGCGCTTTATATCATGGGCTAAACACATTTTTACAATTTTCTCGGAATCGGCTCTAACGTTCATTATATCAGTGTGAAATTAAGCAGTTTTAAATAAAATGTTGTTTTTATTTTTATTGATGTTCTCTAACAGAGCTTAAATGGCTAATTTTCAATATTAGCTTGCTCTAAAGTACCTTTAATGTTTTTATTTGAAACGGTTGACTATTTCACACTAATCTCAAATATAAAAGATAGTTAAATATAAAATATGAAAGAATTTGATAATTAACTAAAGGAGAAATAAAAAATCGTAACAGAGAATAGTTGTAATTGATCGCACCTGAGCTCGCTTGAAAGATTATAACAAACAGACATTCATACGTAACATGAGCTTAATATAATATGGACTCCGACAATATTATATAAATATGCGGTTTTCATAAATTCTATTGTTGTTATTATTTAAGATTTAATTGTATAGATTACACCGATATAAATATTAAAATTTGTATATATATATATATATATATATATATATATATATATATATATATATATATATAATAATTATAATGTCTATAATTTTTACTTTCACTTCTCATGTGTCTGGAAATACTTATTTCTGCTAAGAAGAGGGTGGTAAGTGAAAGTTATGTAATGCGCGCACCACACCAGATTTTTGTTTTAATCACAACTGCGATTTATTCTCAGAACTTGTAGATAACAATGCTGGTAGCTCCATTCTTCGCTTCAAATAATACTGTATATGAAAATCCCGTGTTCTTAGTAGCTACCCGAATGACTACATTTTCTTTTAAATTCTAACACATTTTTATCCAAAAAATACTAATTAAATAACATTATTCTCATGCTATATTTAATCGTTGTTTCTATTAAATGATTTGATGTACCTGTGCAGATATAAAATAAACATTTTAGATTTTTCATAGCACGTTTTATGAAATTATATAATACTATTATATAATTATTTACATTTTTAATTAAGACATCATATTATAAAAGTCTAATAATAATACTCTTCTAATAATAGTGATAATACACTGAGCAATAATGTAACAGTCGTGGGTTCAATATCACAGGAGATCTGGGAAGTGGGAGGGGGCTAAACTCTCTCTTCACTTATACTCAAAATAAAATAATAATGTATAAAAAAAATAATCACAGTTACAAAATTATTGTTTTTGTAACTGTAATTTGTCTGGGGCTGTCACAAGTTGGAACCGTGATATAAAATACCTGTCACGCCCCATTATTAATAGCAGATGGATAGGTGAAGAGTAGATTGTCCCTGCTACTTCTTCTAGCAGCATATTCATATCAAACCTAAAATCGTTTTGTAAAATGTCAGTTTTAAATATCACAATACAATTCAATTTGCAGGTGGAGAAAAGGCATAAAGATAATGGCAGTATGAGAGCAGCTAGCGCTCCACAGAGGAAAACAGGAGGAGTAGCAATTAGAAAACCCGCCAGCGCAAATAGCAGCGAATCAAACAAGGCTAACTCTGAGCTGAGGAAGGCGAGGGACGAAGCAAGGAGGAAACTGATCGAAGAGAAAAGGAAAGCGATGAAGAACCTAAAGAAGGAAGACGACGGCTCTCTATTTATTGTATAACGGTCTGGTCACGCTAGGGCGCATCTCTATGATATTATCCAATGAATGATATTAATAATTTAAGCTTATCATTTTATAGCCGATTCATAAAATATTTATTATATTTATTCCATATACTTTTTTGGTTTAATTAATTTTTTTAATAGATACTATTAATACTTTAACTGTAGAATCCATCATCATTTGTTTGAGTTTTATTAATAATATCAACACGATTATATTTTAACCTTCTAAAGTATAAATATTCTATCAAAAGAGGGAACTCTATAATTAATAAAATTTTTGAATATACAATTTAGTAGGTTATAAATGGTTATTTGTTAGATTTTTATGAATAACTTGAAAAGAATTTTTTTCTGTTTGTATTGTTCAGTTTCATAATTTTTTTTTTTAACTTTCATTTGAACTTCGAAATAATGGATTTGATTATTATAAAAAAAAAATTGTTTTAAAATTTTTTAAATGAAGTATATAATACCTCACGACGAGTTAACCATTAATTTTTTTTTATGTTAATATCAAGATTAAATTAACAATCTTAACGCTGTTGTAGCTTCCCTCTGATTAGCTATTTATCTCCGAATAGAATTTAGAACAACTTAATTAGAGATATGGCTTTTGATGGTTAGTTCTGATCAGTGGTGATACTACTCACTGTTCTACAAACTAGATGTTTGTATCCGTTGTTATAAGCCCGCCTTTAGCTCGTGTTGAAGCGAATGCTGCTTAGGAACCCATCGACGATTGTTTTGACGTAATCACTGTTGCCCTATTCTAATTGCCAACTGCGAAATTGATAGGTGGCATTGAGAGTTGAAGATATATTTTATGTTACTTTATGTATTATATAGTATATATTTAGAGTATATTACATAGAGGATATATTTGAATAATTAAGTGTTTCCTATATTTACACTAGAGTAAATTTTTACTATTTATAAGCATTATTTATAAATATACATATATATCCAGATCATAAAAAAATGCATTGAGACTGCTTCTAATAATTTATTGAAAATAATGTACATTTATTTATTTTATTTTTTATTATTATGATTTATATTTTCTTTTTTTCTTAACAAAGATTTCTTTTTCTTTTTTAACTTACTATTAGTCTATAATTATGTTTAAAAAAAAAAAATGACATTTTCTAATTTAGTGTCTTTACTGTACAGTAGGTATATTTTGTTATATTTGTATTGTTATCGTGACAACAGGTCATTGCGATTTAAGAATCCATTTGAGTTTAGGGCATTCACGAGGCTGATCATCTCGCTAACGGCTCAATGGATAATTGTGGTGTGTTCAAACCGTGTTTTACGCAACCGGTTGAAAAGTCTGATTCAAAACTCAAGTCAAGGCGTGTTGGCATGTTTTTTTATATTTTTGTGTGGAAGTGTATTTATTAATTAATTTTTAAGATTTTTTTTTTGTTTTTTTTGCCACATTTCATTTTAGTTTTATCTTATTTATTTATTTTTTTTTTAATTGGGCAAGCCTCTCATATCAAAAAGCTTTTATTTTGGCGAATCTGTATAAATACTGTTCCATATATTTGATCTCTCGTTTTCATTGATTTAATTAAGTGAATTTTCAGAAGACATTCCTTCTAATATTGCTTTTTTTATTTATTTTTTTTTTTGTCATTAAACTTTATTTTATCAATTTAAATATTCTTCATTTGAGAGGTTTATTTCTAGCCCCAAATGTGTATGGATATTTTCTTTTTCATTAAGACTTGCTGAAAAAATAAATTTACCCTCCTCAGTTTAAGTATAGATATGTATATTTAACACAATCAAGTTCACTGAATAAATTTGTTTATAAAACTGCAAAACTTTTAAAAAATTTCTCACTTTATTTTTAATTTGATTTTTTGTCGCATTTTCAGTTTTTTTTTTTTGTTTTGTTATATATACATTATCTTTTTTTTTTCTTTTCTTGTATAATATCAGTTCACAAAGTGGTTCCAAACCTTGAAAAATCGCTTAAAATGTAAAAGAGTTGTTCAACTCTCGAAGTATCTAAAGTTATTCATAAGGAATGAAAAAAAAAGTTTAAATTACATAGGAAAACTGCATACAATAAAATAATAAAACTCAGAACATCGATACAACTTTATTAATTTAATATATGAGTTGCTTTTTTCAAATTGAACTCTAATTCATTGTTATTGAAATTGAGAAAAGTATCTATTCCTACTTAAGAACACCCTATGAATCTGATGATGCAATTATTTTTTTTTTTTCTAAAACGAACATAATTTTAAAAATAAGTTTACTTTCGATACTGGTCTTTTTGTTAAGGAATGTAATGAAACTTGCATTACTTGACCAATGTTTAAAAAAATAATAATTACAATTATTATTTTATAGTTTTATTCAAATGAATATTAAAAATAAATGTATTTTATTGTTCCAATATTGTAAATGAAAAGGTAATTTTTCCTCAGAATGATACATTTTGTCTCTCCGAATCAAACTCTAAAATATCTTCTTTTTTTTTTGTTCAAAAATGGGCCTTTAAGTTTAATTCTTTCCGAAGGGACCCATTCAAGTTTCAATTTTTTAATTACTACTGATATAATCGGTGATTTTTGGAAATATGTTTTAAAATAAAGAATTTATTTTCTATAAAACATTGGTTTTGATATAACAATTGGAATATAAAATATAGTTTTTCGTATTTCTCTGTTCACTTTAGAAATTAAGACTCATACCTGGTTACTCACTAGAAAATATTGAATTTGTACAAAAATCTTTTTATTTATTTTATTTTATCTTATTTTTTTTATAAAATGAAATGAATTACTGAGATTGCATTATAAGGTTCTTGTAATCTAGTTGCTACATATGGCTTATTTTAAAAAAAATGAATACAGAACTTATATATTCCATTTTTACCTATCTATGTATATATCTTAATTTTAAGACTATTTTGATACCAATTCTCTAAATCAATTAATTTTTATTTTAGGCCAACTTTTTAAGGTTTGGAACTGTTTCATTCTAGTATGAAAGGATTAATTAAAGAATTTTAAACCGACAAACGATCAGAGGGTGCCAAAGTCGAAAATGCGATAGATGATACAACATTAGCATGTATTGTTCTAGTAATCGAAACTGTCGATAAGGTTAGGAATCATTCGAATTTATGTGAAAATTATTTTTATTACGGATAAAGATCATTGTAAAGGCATTGGAATTTTATATATTAGACAGTGTTTAAGTGATATAGAGAGTATTTTATCTAACTTGGCGTCAAGGGTATTAATTAAATTTAATGACCAATTAATTTTGATTTTTTGTTTATTCAAATTTAAACCTCCTTTATCGAAAGAGCTACCAATTTTTATTTTTTTTTTATATATAGAAGGATGGCCCAAGATTTAATAAAAAAATAGATGTTAAATAGATAACATTTTCAATATAATTTATCTTAAAATTTTTATCCTGGTTTTTGTTTTCGGGACTGAGAGGCAGGGATTGCAATTTCTTTATTCCAATTTTCTTTTTACTTTAAATTATCAAGATCATATAGAACAAATTAGAAATATATTTGAAACTAAAAATATAGAATCATTATTTGAGAAGGAGTTGATGCGGTCAATATATAATACTATATATTATAATAATATTATATATTGACCGCACCCCTGACCAACTACTTCTCAAATTATAATTATAGTCAACCATCTCCACACCATTATAAAAATCATTATATTTTTACAAATTGCAATTTTAATGGTTTAAGTATTATTTTCATTTGTTTTTATGATAATTTTCATTGTGATAGCTTTTTGATATAATATATTCTTAAAAATAACCTTCATGCAGTTCTAGTAAATGTAGAGATTTTTATTATTCTATATTCATTTGACAATCATAATAAAGTAAAACAGATTTTAGTTGTGAACTTGTTAATCGTTGTTTATTGAATTAAAGATTTTTTTTCTCCACTTTTTTAGCTCTTCGTGTAATACCATTATTCATTATATGTTTTATATATACCGTTCATAAGAGCTGCATATTTATTTATTTTATTTTTATTATACTGATTAATAATTATACTAATTATTACATTTGCATTTGGTAATAGTTTAATATATTAAAAATGTTTAAAAAAAAAATTGTTAAATAGAAGAAATTTTGATGTTAAGAACAGTTTCAATTTTTCATGTTTGGGGCAAATAGGTTTGTAATATTTACTGAAATGGAAATAATATTTTGCAGTTATTCTCTTGAGTTTAAGGGAGAAAAAAAAAAAATCCAAGGTGTATATACAATTTTATTTTAAATATTTTTCAAATTATATATTTAATGTGTACATCCACATTTAATAAAGACATGTACTAATGATATACACATGTAGCATGCACGTAAATAAAAATAATTTTTTACATAATTATAGATATAGATATGTTCTTATTTAATTATTAAAATATGCATATTTTTATTAAATTTTATTCCTTTCCTGAAAAAATTTAAGGTTCGTGGTAACAATTTGATTTCTTCATGTTTGAAAGTTGAATATATACTATGTCATCGTTGAATTAAAGAAATCAAATTTCAAAGTAGCTGATTTTTCATGAATCATAAATATGATTTTCATATTTACAAAATTTAAAAAAAATTAATACACTTCTTAATACACAAGCAAAAACAAATGTTTTAATGTATTGTTCGTACGACTATAATATAGCTCCTAAATTTAAGATTTTTTTTCTAAATGAAAAATTAGCTATTTCGGAAATTATATTTCCTTTTACCTATGCATGTCAGAATGGTAATTATATTCATATTAACAAATTTTAAGGATAAAAAAAAAAATTCTGTTTATTAAATTTCTGAAAACTAAATTAGGTTAAAATTTTGATAAATCACTGCCCAGAGTGTGAGTGCCAATTAGTTTATTTAAACTAAATAATGAATAGAAATTTATATATGCATTATTAACACATTTTCACCGTCACATAGATATGCTGTTATCACTGTTGCATATTTCGTCACTGTAGCTTACAAGTTTTTATTTGTTTTAAGATCTTATCTTAAGAATGTTAAGTTTTTATTTTCCTTTTATAATGAGCTGATTGGTTATTGGCAGCAATTTAAGGATTAAAGTTTTCTAGATTATATATTATTATAACCTCTACAAATTATAAAACTGGTAACAGCTGATATTGTGCTTCATAAAAGTATATTTTAACATATCTTGTAATAGTCCTATATTAAATATATATAATTATGATTTTTAATAAAATGAATGAATTACTGAACCTTGATGGTTGGAATTGTTAAATAATATTGAATTGTTAATTATCTGTATTAAGATTTTAAAATGTTCAACAGTATATTTTGAAAATTAGCTGTATTATTTCATTAAAAGTATTTTTTAATTTGATAAGATAGTGAAATGGTAATTTATTGTTATTTTGTATATAAATTGTTTGTTAATTTTTTGTTTCTTTCATATTTTTTTTTTTTATGAACGAGTTATTAAGTTCAATATGTATTATGGAATCTCATTATCATTTTAACAAATGATAGCAGCAAAAGTCTGAATTTTTAATATTTTATTCTGTAGTAAATAGGCCGTCGCTGCCTGACATCTTAGTGACATAAAGTTGAAAAGAAAAATGGGCTGTGCTTGTTCTAAAGTGATTTTCTATCAGTTTTTTCTTACCTTTTTTTTTTAAATATTATTTTTAATCATAGTATGGTGGTCATATAAAGACATATGAAAAAGAAAGGTGATTGTATATACAATTATAAAAAAATTATTATAATTTTTCAGTAAATGAAATTAACAACATTAAAAGCTTCATATTAATTTTTACATATATTAAAATATATGCAATTTGATGTTTTGTTTTGTTTTTCCCCATTTATCCTTAATTTTTAAAAATGGTTATATTACGATTAATATTCTCTAATTTGTATGAACCACTAAATTCTCGTTATGAACTGTATTTTTAGTTCAACGTTCTATGTTATAGCTTCTTCGAACAAATGTATCAATAAAATTTAGTTTAGAACATTTCACGAAAGTTTCTCAGTTATAATAATTCTGATTTTAAATGTTTTTATAAGGAAATAATTGAATCCTATTAAGTTTTAATTACCAGATCATTGGAATCTGAATGAAAATTGCATATATCCAGTTTAGAATGTTATCGAGTGTTTTTTATATAGCACTACAATAAAACTAGAAATATATCTTCAGCTTACATCATATTTATCCTCTAAAAAGTCATATTTCTTTAAAAAGAAATTAGATAAAGGAATAATTTAATTATAAAAATAGAGCATTGAAACTGGGAAACTTATAAAAGGTTTGGCTTATTTAACTTCTTAAACAAGTTGAGAATTGTCACTTAATCCATAAATATATTATTTGAGAATTTTTTCTTGTAAAGGGTAAGTTTCAGTGGTTCATTAATGCATTGTTTCACCCAGTTTAGATACAATCCAATGCCATGCTGAGTTTAGGAACTTGTCCTAATATTTATAAATTTTCCTATAAAAATTTCAACAAATCTCTTACTTTTCCAGTTACTATTTCTATATTATCAGTCTTGATTGCGCCCCTAATCTTTAAGTACGAAAGTGTTTTTCGAGTGTTAAGGTCTGAGGTTTTTAAAAATCCTCTTAATGTATTTAAGGAAAGTTTCCGACCTCTGTCAGAAATTTATTCTGTTACATTGTGATCAGGGGACTCTTAGGCACACCCAATCTCTATAAAGAAAGTGATCTTAATTAATCAAAAAGGAAAAGAAAAGCCGTTTGCCGAGAAATAGTACTTTCTTGCATTTTTTTAAAACAAAAATCCTTTGTGTGGAAGATTGACACTCCTGGAACTTAACAAAACACAAAATTTTAAGTTTTTTTAAACATCTTAGTATATTTCTAAAATTTTAAGTTTTTTTGTCTGTACACTATTTGGCAATTCTTCACAAAATCCAATGATTGGCCCTTTATTTTGAAGGTCTCCACATTCTAAAAATAGTCATATTCCTCCAAAATTTCTTAAGGAAAAGAGACTTTATTTTGGGAATAACTAAAAAATTATACATTTTTTCTTGATTGTAGCCATCATTATTATGATTAGAACGATTACTAAATTCCCTTCAAAACAAAAAAAATCGGACCATTATTAATAAAGATACAGTCCATTAGATTTGACATACTTAATCATTATTATTTCCTCTTTGAAGGTACTACATTTACTATTCAACTACTCTTTTTTTCATGGCTGATATATCTATATAAATAAAGTAAAGGTTTTGTCTGTACATTGAATAGAATCAACCTGTTTCATGATATCTTAACGTTTAATACATTGCAGACACTAAATATACTTTTAAAAATTTTTTTGTCTGTATGTCAGCATTGTCCACCGAAATTTTTTCAGGGGTAAACTCAGCAATGGCTAATGGTAGACTTTTGAAATTTTTACTTTATATTTAGGTTTGCTTGACTTAAAACATAGGCTTTAAATGAAAACAAAATATTGAGTAGAACCAAAGTTATGAATTCTTAAGCAATTTGTCTAGAGATCCCCGGTTAGGCAGTTACTTCGATTCTCATCCCGATCTACTCTACCGCGAGCCACATTTAAAAGTTGTACTATTCAACTGATGGAAAAAATTATCACAACTCAACGGGAAAAATCCGAACATCTGTAACGCATTGTCGCTTAAAACACACTCATTTTTCAACTTTGTCCAATCTTCCCGTTCAAGATGTCATTTGATTCAACTTCTCGAACCTAACAAATGTTGCAAACATTTTTAAGATGAACTAAACGGATTAACCAGAAATCGGAGAAACAAATTTCACCCCACCCGCCACAATATTCAGATCAAGTTCTAATTTTACATGGATGCAGGTGACTCAATGGCCAATGTTGTTTTGCGAGCGATAAACTAAACAGAATTTAAAGAAGTGGAGAGACTACAACTCTTCTTAATTATTTCAGTCGACTCCACAATTTCTTTGCTTCATCATAAATGAAAATTAAACATAAAAAATTTTAATGGATCGGTAGTGGTTGGTTTAGTTGTGTGGCACCTTAACAAATAGTCGAATAAAAAAGTTTTTATTTTGACTATTGTGAAACTTTGACTTCCATTAGCCTCACCATAAAAACATTCAAAACACTCTCCCCCCCTCCTACCCAATTTTGTGAAATTTGGATCCCTCCTCCCCATAATACAAAATCCATCTCAAAAAAAAAAAAATCCTCAAATTTTAACTATACACCCGTCAACAACGGATACATCAGCTAGTACTTTACTATTTCTTTAAGGCATTTTTTGTTGGTGCATTTTATTTTTTTTTAATAATTTAGAAAATCCAATGATCAAAGCTTTATTTTGAATATTACCTTTTCTGACAGTGTAGAAAGTAAACCCTAAAAAAGTAATTTTAACCAATATTTAGTTTTATTGTATTAAATGGACCAAGGAAAACACAATTAATTCCTCCCTCACATAATGCATAGGATCTACTTATTTCCATATTGTTTTGATATTCCTTCACTTAAAAAATATTCTGTGAATTATTTGCACAGGCCAACCAGTTATGATTTAATATTTCTACTCAGTTTTACAATACTTGTAAATAAGTATGTATAAGCTTATAAAAGCATGTGAAATATATTTTTCATATTCCTCAATTTATATAATTATTAATTCTAAGGGTATTCATGCGAACCTATTAAATTAAAAGGGTATTGTAAACCTATTAAATGTATTAAAATTGAGGAACTTATTTAAAATGTACTAATTTCCTTATTGTCATGTAAGGTTTTGTCAGGGTTCTCATCTTTTGTTTCACCAGAAATGGAATACAGGGAATGAATTTGGAGGAAGGAGAACAAAAATCTTTGTCCCTTAATAACGGAAAATCAGAAGTTGAAAGATATTTTTTTTTTTTTTCAATTCCTTATAAATTTAGGGTTGCAACATTTTCAATAATAGACACTGTTCAAATAAAAGAACAATAAACTCTTTACACCGAAATCAACAAGTGAAACCCTAGTTATCATGGATGAAAATAACACTTTCACATATTTCATTTTCTACCTTAGCTATGCAAGTTGTTATACTTACCCCAAACCAGCATGAGGACCTACTGAATTTTTTTAAAAATTATAAATAGTGTAATAAAAAAATGATTAAATAAGCAATGCTGATAAGTTATAATTTATATTTTATTAGGAACATCAATTATTTGAGAAATAAAACTTCTACATTTGTGAATACTGTTTTGATTTTTTTTTTTATTGTAGTTTATATGGTGAACTTCTTTAAGTCACAACTAAACATCAAACAGCGAAGGCGAGAGAACAATAGTATGAAAAGGTATTTGCTACAATATTACTGTTTATAAAAAGGTATACATACATAAATATATATGTATTGATAAAATTAGGGTTTTCAGAAACTCTCCATTATTACATGTGCTTAAGATAGACGGAGATATATTTTTTATTCTTCAGGTGTGATTGCCAATTATCGAATTATTCTCAAGTTAATAAATAGTGAGTCTCTTTTGAGATATTTGATACTCAAAATGAACAAAACTTCCTCAAAATAAAAACATAAAAAATTTTAATACTTTCAAAATTATTCTATTCATCAAGTACTCAAGAAAAGTTATCAAGGTGTAAAATGTGACAAAACAATAACCTCATAAATTTTGTTTAACAATAATCAATAATATGAAGGATTGCAAAAAGTCATTAATTAACATTTCATACAATAAAATCGCTAACTGAAGTGTTTTGACAAATATTCTCTATGAAATCAGAATCTATGTGTCATAAAATTATTTTTTTTTTTTTTTATGATAAGATTGAAATCTACAAAAAACACATAATTAAAAGTCCATTAACTTCAAAATGTACATCAGTGACTTTTTGCAATAAACTGACGATATATAGTTATTAGACTAAGTTTTAACACTTGGAAGAATCTGTCATTCACAGTAGTGGGTAGCTTTAAAAAAAGTTTATAAAACTAACAAATTAATTAATATTTATCATCAGAAAAGATTGGATTTTTATGGAATCATGGATTTAATTTTTTTTTTGTTCTTACATATTTATCAGAATTACTCTGGACAACATTGTTCGTTACACTATCAAACTGTCCCCAGTCCATATCGTGACATGCTACTATTTAAACTCTCATCTTATAACAATCCCGAATAGTATGGAAAACTGGGGTTTCAATATAATTCAAAATTATCTCCTTAATAATAAAAAATTCCAAGAGATACCGCCATTATAATAACTTTGTAATATATAGTTACTATCCATTTTTAAAAGAAAAAAAGAATGTAATCTACCAATAACTGAAAAAAAAAATGTTTTTATGCAATAATTTTTCCATTAAAAAAATAATAATTACAATCCAATTCTTTTCAGCATAAAAATCCAAGTATCGTTGATGATCAAGAATATATTTTGATCCATGAATGAATTCTGATGTATTAAAAACTTATAAATTAGGACTAGAAATAAAAAGATTGAAATAATACTTAGACAACAATGTTTTAAGTATTAAAGCATATAACCAAAACAAGAGTACACAGAATATATCAGACAAATGAAGATGATAATTGCTTATTATTCACTAAGTTTCAACATTATATTAACTTAAAAATTGTTAATTTAAACAAACTGAATCATATTTATGAAGAAAAGTATACAAATTATACATTTACACAAACTTAAAGCCATGTTACATCATTACAACATTCCTACGCCTTCTCGATTATCCTTTTACCTATGCCTTCTTGATAATCTTTTAATTAATTTTCTAAATATAAAATTTTCTACTAATTTGAGTTTGGATTCTTTGATGTTAATATGATAAAACATTTGTACAGACAAGATATAATAGTTCTTATTAAAGAAATGAACATAATTATCAAATTTATATACTGATTTAATGTTTATAACAGAAAATCTTATGATAGTTTTTAAAACCTCCTCTGATAATGAATTATTCACAGAACATACTGTTAGGGTATGTTATCAGTAATACCAATTACTAAGTATTTACTCCTCACTTCTTGCCTGAAGATCTAATTTATTTACAAAAAAAGGCTTGTAATTTATACCGCTTTCTTTATTATAGAGAGAAAAAAAAAAACTACTATAAAAAGAAAAACAAAAGAAAATTTATTTAATAAAAAAATAACTGAAATAAGCATTAAAAACATAAAAGAAAGAATTAAAGTTTATTCTGAATACATGGAATCAAATTATCAAAAACTCCCTAAACTTGAACATGCTATGGTCTTTTTAGTTCAAGGTTTTACCATTAACCAAGCTTGTTCTAGGGCTAACATAGTATGTAGGGCAAACTACATAAGTAGGTTTCATTGTCATAATAAATAGAAAATTATTTAAATTAAATTAAAAAATTTGTTAATTTTATCAGTGTAAATGGCTGGTTCAATTTAATATAGAACCTGTAATGTATTATCTAAATAATTTTAGATACCGAAGAGGAACAAAATAGGGACAAAGAATCCCTAAAATATTCAAATAAAAACATTATAAATTACGAAATATTAATTTGTTAAATTAGACAAATAGGCAAGCAAGTAGTGAGGGGAAAATAATAAACGAAGAAAGGTTAAGACAAAACTAATAAAGTACTAACATAAATATCTTAGTAACATAAATTACTAATTTTTTTTAGTAGTTTTTATGGTGAGCTAAGAACACAGTTAGATAATAACACGTACTATTAATTCATCAAAATAGATAAAATTAGAAATATTTGAGTCAAAACAATAAATAAAGTTCCTTTGTTCTCCCTCTCTGAATATTTTTTGCTAAAGATGTTGGATTTATCCTAATTCATACAAATATAAGTCTTTACTCAAATGAGAGACTTACACTAAGATATAATACTGCAATAAGATCCAGTACAAAGTATTGGACATAGAAAATGCAATCAAATCAAACTAGAAAATAATTAGGCATCGACACCTGAAGCTATCACACTCATGAGTAGACCTAAACACTATATCTTACGCTCACAGATGGGTTTTTGGATACCGCTTACGACATAAAGATATATAATAAATTAGACACATATATATTATCGGACCAAGAAGTTAACAGTATCATATAATAAATAGATCAGTCAGGTAGAATCAGTTCACTGTTGAGACAATCCTCGCCAAGGTTCGACGGTGAAGTCTCCATTTCGCAGATCTCATTCGACTCGCTGAAATGCCATATACTATATTATATTAATAATGCAATAACAAAGAAAAATAACAATTTCAATAAACTATTACAAACAAAATCAAAATTTTGTTATTGGTTTTTTTTTTTTTTTTTCCTAATGTTGGCCCAGGGCACGTCGACCCCTAATGGGTCCATTGTGCGCCAATTTCAATTAGTCGTTTTAATCAAAATGTTATTCTAGTCGCTTCCGCGTATATAAGTAGGCTGGTTGGATTGACCATCTCATATCTACTGGGGAGATCCATTCGTTCCTCCCCAAATACTACCAGTTTCAGCCTTGTGAATCTATCACATCTACACACGATGTGAAAGGCTGTTTCATTCTCCTCCTGACAGAGTCATAGCGGATTCGTCATTACTCGGAGATTGAACATATGGTAATTTAGCTTACAGTGACCTGTATAGATTGCTGTAAGCTTTTTAAGGGCTGCTCTGTCCATACTCAGTAGCAGTTTGCTTTTTTTTCACATGGACCTTTAAGGAACAGCTTCGAATGTCGCTGTTATTGGTTACTCGAATGAATTTTCGATTTTTAATATTCGTAAGTTAAGATTAGGTTATAAAGATAAACACACAAAAAGGTGATCAAGCAAGTTAAGGCACCTGCAAAAATTTGATGTCATAGATTCAAATACCATCCACGGGATTTAATAAATCAAAATAGAGAAAGTGCAGGCCCTACTTGATTGCTTACACAACGACGTCACAGATTCGATTCCCCCATGAAGTGGGTAACACCCCCTTCCTGAGATTCACAGGGAGGTGAGCGACCCTTGTATCTTACACCATAGAAAGAAAATATTGCTGCAATAAGTTGTCAACCATCCATCAGGAAAATGCCTGATGAAGAGGGAGTGATTGTGATCGCATCCGGTTATTGTAAACAATGTGCTCCCTGGATATTGTCGAGAGAACCCAACAAAATAACAGCCCCAAATAAAAATAAAGCCTAAAATAAATTCAGTTCAAGTCGAAATATGCATACGATATTCATTTTAAGCCTAAATATACACAAAAATTAAATTAAAGTCAAATATGCAACGTAAAAATTTGTCAAAATATTTCAAACGTCTTTTTTCATAAAGATATCTAGTCAAATTTTAAAAAAGTATGCATTCACACGTAAATCTGGACCTTAGTAATATTAACACGGAAGGATAAACAACATATAACAAAAAAAAATTTAATTTTAAGAGGACAGAGTCTTTAAAAGAAGTTAAAAAAAATATGCATTCACACGTAATTCTGGACCTTAGTAATATTAACATGAAAGGATAAACAACATATAACAAAAAAATTTAAATTTTAAGAGGACAGAGTCTATAAAAGAAGTTTAACATAAATGGCACCTGTCCAACGAGGGATCATTGCTGAACATCTCCGTTGGCATAGTCACGGGTGGTTGGTCCAGGTAGCGCTGCCTGCTGCTCTCCAGGTGACCGACCACTTCTTCAGTCATATGACCATCGCTAGCAGAGAGAGACGGCTGGTGAATGGTCTGCAACTAAACAAATTATTTTTAATAATGTCATAATGAAAAGATATTTTTAAATTATAAAATACATATTAAATAGGTTTTTACTGTATATGTAAAAAGAATATTATTTTTTAATTTATTTTTCTTCTTTTCTTGCCTCTCGGCAATACAGATTTTTTATAGAAGTAGTGTGATACTTCTACCGCTTATCTTCTGTTTCTTTGGTCTTCGTTAGTGGAGGTTGAAGTGATCATCCCCCACTAATTCTTGCACCCGTGCACGAATGCTTCTTAGTATAGATAGTAATCCTTACTTAGTACCTGAGGGAAATCGTCCTCCGTGATGAAGTAGAGTCCGGTTTTCCTCAATAGTTTGGCTGTTATTGGTTCAAAATCAAAAGAGGTGTAAGTCGTGATGAAATGCTTCCGGCACAGCAGTTTCCGGAGCACCACAACAGGGACATATGGGCTTAATTTCTTTCCCAAAGCCATGAAGCTTAGCACGAAAACCCCTATGCTCTGTCAGGAATTGTGACACCCAATAATCTAATATATAATATTACTATTCTCCCTGCGACACTTAAGGAGACAGCCCTGATGAAGGCCTGAACTTCAGGTCGAAATGTCGGCATATGTAAAAAATAAATATTATCATTTATTTTTGCCTTCCTTTTTGACTGACCACCCCAACTATTCTTCTAATATATAATAGATGCTAAAAATTTGTACTAAAAAAAATTAGTAATGACGTGTATTTAAAAACTAACTTACACCATGAAATTTGTTAATTATAATTGAGTACACCGATTTGTAAAAATACTTTACATTTTACATTAGCATTTTAAAAACTGCATAAAAACAAAATATGCAATTGCACAAAAAAAACAGGTGGAATTTGTACTATAGATTTTTCCCACCCACTAATACTGCTAAAAATATTTTTACAACATTCACTTTTTTGTCATCTCTCACGGAAATACACTAATTAGTTTTTTAAACAATTTTAGGGCCAAAACTAATACATTATTTATATTTGGTTTGTGATAATAAGTAGATAATGGATTGTGTGATACCGTGATTATTATATGAGGAGTTGGTCAGAAGTGCGGTAAAATAAAGACATTTATAATTTAAAATTTTCTATTTAGTTTCTACAGAAATTAAATAATGTAAAAGTAAAACTTATTAATTGTGAATCTGTTATAACTTTTTTTCATTCTCCCACAGGTTAGTTAAAATAATATAAAAAGTAAGGGATGGTTACAAACATAAAATTAAGATGTTCAGAACGCAACAAGAACGGTGTCACATAAAAATTTAATTTAATTTGGAATCAATTTCAAATAAAATTAATCAATGAAGCTAAATAAATTGATTTTTAATTGCTCTTTCACTAATTTAAACCGCAGAATACAAAAACTTTTTATAAACAAATTTATTTCTATGAAACTGATTAAAAACATCAGCCAGACATAGAGGGTGTGTCCACTCTATCATAGATTTAGTCTAATTAACATAAAATAAAACATATACCATCGAAAATAATTATTTTTAAAAACATTAATTAGAATATATTGTATTAAGATGATAATAAACAAAAAATTATGATTGAAATAATAATAATAATAAAATCAAACAATACAACATGCATCCATGCCAATGAGAATCAAATTTACAGGATTTTTATTATTTTCCTAATGCTTTGTAATAGATGAGAACAAACAAAGAATAACATGTATATACTTTTTTGCAAATATTGTACTAAATAGACAAGTGAAAGATAAAAAAAACATGGCTGAATCAGAATTTAAAATATAGTTGTAATTAAATTTAAAAACAGTCACTAAAAATTAATAAAGAAATAGCATACTGAAACAGGAAAGCAAATGATTTTAAACAGCTGTTACTTTGAAGAATAAAAAAAAGATGTACTTCTAACATTTTATTGATCTATGATTACGTTAACCAAAATGGATTAATAAATAATTAATAGTTGCACCTATTGCTTAGAACTATTAAAATATCACTTTTTGAAGGATAAGTAAAAGAATTCAAAATATAAAATTGAACCATAACTCACAAATTGCTGGTAATCGATTCAATATAAAAAGGTCACAACTACACAACACATACATCAAGAAGTTATGACAAGATACTTTTAACTAACTTAATTGTAAACATCCGTAATTATTTAATCTGACGTCATCCCTCTATACCTTAAATGAAAACATTCAGTAACAAATACCTGTGTATGACTTGATGATTTCCCACTCTTGGACGAAGGCTTTTTCTTCTTCACCGATGACATTTTGGAAGGACCACTAGAATTTAAACCACTACTAAAACTGCCAAGGCCCATGTCAATCTTTCTTCTAAAAAAAAAAGAAGTACAATATTTTACAATCTTAATAACAAGGCAAAAAGCAATTAATTTAAAACTAAGCATACCTCTTAGCTTCAGCCCTTCCAGTTTCGTCATCCGATGATTCAGTATCATCGCTTTCACTGCTCGTAACTTCTACTTTTTCATAATTCAGTAGTCTATCAAGAAGAAAACTTCTGTCTCTTGTCACTTTTAACATTCTCCTCTGATTGTTCCGTAAAGCTTCTTGAAAACACTCATTTTCCTAAAATAAATTTTATTAAGACTAGACAAGAGAGGCCACATGTATGAACAAAAATAAGAGAAGACTTACATAAATTAAAAACTTCAATTTTCTTTTAAAGGATCTGTATTGCTCCTTGTAATTAATAGTATCCTCTTGACTTTCTTCATCATCTTCAGTATTAGCTACCATTTCGAACAGAAATAACTTAGTAATCCGTATTTACTAACCGGTACGTGTGGTGGAATAAAGAAAACAAAATTTTATGCAGCACATCTAATAACATATAAGGCAGTATATATAATTACAAAATTAATCGATTTATGCTACAGATGCTAATATTTTAAACTTTAATTGCTAAAATAAAATTAAACAAATTATATACATTATATTACTTTTTTTTAAATGTAAACAAGTGATATTTAATAAACAATGAAATGACGTCAGATAATGTATAATTTGTGAAACGGCAAAAATCGATTTGTTGGTGTAGCTCTCTCTTTAGGCGGTACTTGGAAACAATTGGAAGTATTGATGGATTGAATTATCGCCCACTATCCATCAAGTGTTATAAACAAAATTCCGAACGATATTCAAAGTCAAAGTTCAAAGAATATTTTTTTTAATGATAAACTGCAGATGTATAAAGTGAAATCCGATTCTAGTCATAAATATAAAACATCCAATTGATAATTGCCTTAGTTCAAAATAAAAGGAATTCTAAATATATTCTATACAAACTAAAAGATTATTACACGATGGTTTATTATTTACAAATGGTTGTTATATATCAAATATGTGTAGTGATTCATACTATTTACCTTATCACTTACAGAAAAAAATTAAATATAAAAATTGCCTCAAGATTTTTTTTTTCAATGTTTAAAAAAAGAATACGAACACTTGAATTATTCTTTAAATAACCATCTCGAGTGCTTCTGTAGATGTAAAGTTTTCCAGTTTTCAGAAAGCAAAATAAGGAAAATTAATATTAGAACACTCGCAAGTGTTCAAGAGGCCATATTTCTGCAACAATACTTTATTTTTATTTTGAAGAGAAGTATGATTGAGATGATCAGTCAGAAATAAAAAGGCAAAAATAAATAAAATATTTATTTTAACATTTGTTTACGTTTCGACATAAAGTTCAGGCCTTCATCAGGGTTCTTAGAAGAGATATAATATATTATTATTATTTATTTTTGACTTTTTATTTCTGACTGATCACCCCAACCATCCTTTTCATTATTCACGACAGTCAACCATCAACCCACAATTATTTTTTTATTTATTTTTTTTTTAGTTTCGTAATCTTTAATTGTGTTTACTTTTCAAGTAATTGTTTTTTTTAAATTCTCAAATACAATTCTACTCGTAACTTTTATTCCAGCTTCTTTTCGGGATTGTTATGTGACATACGTCATATATGTCACATTTAAATGGCTTTGAGAAGAAGAATTTCAATAAGCGTTTCAATAAAATCATTAAAACAGTTTTGGTGGTACATTCTATAGAAATAAAAGTTTTGTCGTTCACCATTTTGAAACAAAACGGCGAATGGTAAAGGCAAGTTGAGAGGATCAACCTTGAATGACCTCTGACTTTGATACTACATTTACGTTGGACGAACCGATATTTTTTTTTCTCAGATTTTAGGGTTCAAGGTATCATGAAATATCAATTTAAATGAATCAATATAAAAATATTTTGATAATTAATTCTCTATACTTTACGATATAATACCTCTTTGCTAATATTGAAATTCAATAAGAATTGCATTACCAAAACGCTATTTTATCGCTGTTTTATGGGATACGCAATAAAATTCACAATAACTTGGAATTAAATTGACTGGCATAGAAAGTATTCAACAGATGTAACACAACAAGATTTTCATTGCCAAACGAATAATCGAAGATTATTACTAAAAATTACTAAACTAAAAATTTGTTAGGTTATTTCTCTAGTTTCATCAAGAGGTTTGTATTTTTGATGTGACGCAATACATGCGTCTGGCAAGAAGCGAAACTTGAGGTTGCAGATAATAACTGAGTCATTAAAAAAAAAAACATATAATCCTTGTCCTACTGATTAATAGCTCTCAACAGGAGAAACTAAAGAAAAATCCGATAAATCTCTTTTGTTGCCATTTTAAAATGATCATAAACATTCCTCATTAATTTTCTACATCTAATTTTTCCAAGATAAATAGAAGAATATTAGTATTTTCGCCAGTGCATAAGCTTTGATGACATCACAAATGTCACATATGTTATCCCAATATTCCTTCAATTTGATATAAACTATTATACTCTGTGACACTAGCGGATTCAAGATTTAATTTAGGGGGGGGGGGCTTCAGCACGGAAGCTTTTTTTTTTCATATATATATATATATATAACGATAATTACTTTAGAAAAACAGAAAGATACTAACTATCAATATGAAACGGTGTTTAAGTGATTCTTGAAGTCCTATTAAATGTAATTAAAGGAGCATTAATACTTTAAAACATAATTTTTTAATATTTTTTACCATAAAACATGTTACATTTTACAATTTTTTTGGGGGGGGGGGAGGGCTTCAGCTCGAAAGCCCCCCTCCTCCCCTCGTAAATCTGCCTGTGCTCTGTGAATACTTGTCTGGTTTTCAAGAATAAGTTACTTAGTTTCATTTATAATTGTTTACATAAATATAGACCTATGTAATACATCAGGAAATCAGCAAAATTAAGTTTATATTTATATCGTACGGATTGAAAATACTAAAAACTCATGAATATACCTTATAATCTATACCTAGGGTGGTAGTAAAAGACGTTGCATTAATTAGAAGTATAATGTTTACATTTATTTTTAACACAACAAATAAATATTATATACCCAGTTAGCTATAAAATTGTCAACCTATTTTTTATTGTTCTCATTTATAGCCATTAGAAAGTAATGTAAGAACCCGAATTTCTTCAATTAAAGGATTTATACATTTCTATAATTTTCTATTCTCAATGCCGTTTTCCATATACTTCAACTGGAATCTTGGAGATGTAATATATACTTGTTATGTATTTTCCAAGTTCTTTCATGTAAAAGCATTGAGAGAACTTCCCCCCTCCAAATAATATATGATGGGAGACCGCCCCTGCAATATCCCGTAGTAATTTATTGAAAAACAACTTAAAAACGCTGCAAATTATTTCACAATGGTTTATTATTTGCAAACAATTATACATCTAAAGTAACATTACCTTCCGAGTTACAAAGAAAAAACAAAACAAAAGGTGATTCCAATTATTGGACTAAACATTTTCTCTTTAATCATTACTAATACGCTAAAAAAAAAAAATCATTAGTTCAGTAACACATTCAAAATTTAAAAACCAAACCAAAGATATAAAAAAAAAACCGGAGACCATATCTTTGCTCCTAATTGTCCGATTTTAACGATTTGTTTAGAAAATTTCGTAAACTTTTGAAAAATTATATACATTATCAACAAAAAAGTATAAACTTTTCGAGTTATCCGGAATTTAATTTTACCATCCCTCGTAACTTTTTTTCCAGCTTCTTTTCTTTGAAGTATGTTATATAGATATATTTAAAGGGCGTCGAGAAAATGACTTTAGCAAAGTTTCATTGAAATCTGTACATTCGTTTAGGAGCTACAGTATATAACAACGCAGGTTTTTCGGCCGCCATTTTGAAAGTAAAAGGCGAATATTAATGTCGATGAAGGAGGATCATCCTCGGGTGACCTCTGATTTTATATCAAAATTTGAAAAAAATCGGTCCAGTAGTTTCGGAGAAACGTGAAACCTCAAATTTTGAGAGGGGGTTATGTTTTTGAATTTTTTGGTCGACCACAATGGTTGATTATTGAAAATAATAAACCAAAAAAGTTCAATAAACCGTACGCTAATTATTAATTATATAATATTACTGTTAATAAACTACTTTTTTGTTCTCCTTTTCTTCGCCTATTAAGGTTTTTTACTACGAGGTGAGGGCGTGGAATTAAGCTCAGTGTTAATGTTATCACAAAATAGAGAAAAAAAGGTGGCCTACAAAAATATTGGGCCGTTTGGACTAATTATTTTGATATGTTGGAGGTTAAGGTCACACCAAATGGCCCAAAATTTTTGTATGCCATCTTTTTCCTTGATATTTTGATCAAGTTAAGTTACGATTCAATTGGAAAGCAAAAAGTTGTTCATAAGTTTTTAGTACCTTATTAATTATACAAAGTTATGAATTTCGTTTAAATTGCCTCTTTCTCCACCTGTATCTTGAAGTCCTGATCTTGAACGTTGGTGTCAAATCTGATCGTGGGATCCTCTATGAGTGCCTCCTTTTCCGTCACATTGAACACCAATATGTACATATCTACGGGAGGGGGGAGGGCTTTCGGGCTGAACCCCCCCTCCACCAAAATGGTAAAATATAACCATGTTTTATGGAAAAATATATTTAAAAAATATCTCTTAAAGTATTATTGTTCGTGTAATTACATTTAAAAGGACATCAAGAATCACTTAAACACCATTTCATATAGATAGTTAGTTTCTTTCTTTTTTTCCAAAGTAATTATCGTCATTTTTATAAAAAAAAAAAAGCTTTCGGGCTGAAGCCTCCCCTCCAAAAAAAAAAATTAAATCCTGGATCCGCTAGTGTCAATATGTAAATGGTTACTTCACTCCTTTCAATATCAAGAGAAATAAAATTAATAATGTCGTTTAACAATAATGTCACTGTTAAAAAAGTTAGGATAATTGTGTTTCCCACATTTTATTAAATGTCTAAACGCACATTTTCATTGATATTTTGTGAAATTTACAATATTATCTTTTTTTTTTATTGAGTATTACAACAATCTGTCTCTTGGACATTGGTTATAGTGATGTAGGATGACATTCACATTATATGTACAAAAAATATAAAATAATAATCAAAAGTAAAGTATTATCAAAATAAAAAAAAAGTCGTATCTATTTTCGAAAAACTAGTTTTTCAGTTGAATGAATCAAATTTGAAATTATTTCAATTTATCAAGATTTAAAAAAATCATAAATTATAATATCTTATTTGACTTATTTATATAATTCCTTTATGAGGTAAAAGAACTATTTTTATTGATCGTAAAAAAAAAAAAAAAAATGAAGTTTATAATAAGATATCTCACGTTATCTATCATAGTGTCATTTTTTTCATATATTATTGCCGATAGTATTTTATATTCATTGCACAGATAATGGAGTATATTTAGTAGTGATGCTATAAAACGAAGAAACAAGGAAATCAGAGAAAAAATAACTGGATTATATG